ATACCACATTAGGAGATTCGCTAAGAGCGAGGAGCCCGAAGAACATGGAGATGAGTATGTGGGTTTAGATGAGACAGTAGGAGAGCCGAGAGTTCCAGAACAAGTGGAACGAGAAAGTGTGTGAGACAGAGGAGGACCTAACGGTTACTTGGTCTCACGAATATGAGGATGGGCCACCGAAGTTGGAGTCAGAAGACTTAGAGAAGGTGGACCTTAAAGCTGAGAAAACGGAGATCGAGAGACTGCTGAAGATGGAAGTTCTCAAAGAAGCCGAGTTGGATGAGAATGGAGAGTTGAAGCGAGGACCAAGCGGTGAAGAACCAAAGAATCTCAGTACTAAGTACGTGTTGGATTGGAGGCAGTGGAAGAGGCGCGCGCGTCTAGTCGCGCGTGAGTACAAATAGTTGACAGACTACGACCTTTCAGCGTTGTACTCACCAACGAGCATTGGTTCGAGTATCAAGCTGTTGTCAGCCTTGTGTGCAAGTTCAAGAGATTACGAGATGATCACGATAGACATTTCTGATGCTTGTCTTCAGGTGCCACAGAAGGAGTACACAGTTGTGAGTTTAGGAGGAAAGTGGTACCAACTGCAATACACCCTGCCGGGTCAGCGAACAGGAAGCAGTGACTGGTTTGAGCATCTGCGTGAGATTCTGGAAAAGGAAAAGATGGTTTCTGATGTGGGGTTACCCAGTTTCTTCTACAAGTTCTCGGAGAAACCAGGAGAAGGAGGAACGCTGATGAGTCCCCACGTGGACGACTTGGAAGTGCTTGGGAAACCAAAAGCAAACCAAGCAGTAGTGGATCTGCTGCTGAAGCACAAGTTGAAGATCAAGCTGGCAGGTCCAGTGAAGGTCGGTGAAGGAGTGTACCTTCTTAGGAGCAGCAGAAGGAATTGAGATCCGGATGGACGGCAAGTATCTTGAAAAGCTGGAAGAAATTTTGGGACTAGGAAAAGCCCTACCAAAGAAGTTGCCGTTTTCGTTGGACTACGGAAGGTCGCTAAAGGACGGCACGCCTTTGGATGCAGATGAGCATCATCTGTATAGGTCCTGTGTTGGAATCTTGTTGTGCATGACGCCAGAGAGAGCAGACCTGGGATTTGCGACGAAGTGGTTGTCAGGAAAGTTGGCTGCACCAACGCGAGGAGACTTAGCTGTGCTAAGACACGTGGCAAAGTACGTGAAAGCAACATGGCATTATGTGATTGAGCACAAGGAGTCATATCCCGGAAGGAGTTTTCTAGATCCAAGCGAGAAGAGAACTGAGAAGTCGAACAAAGATGTTTTTACTGCAAAGAGTTTGATCGAAGTAGTGACTGACGCCGATTGGGCGACTGATCGTGAGACAAGGCAGTCAACGAGCTGCACCTTGATCTTTGTAAATAGTAACATCGTTTACTTTCATGCAAGAAAGCAAAAAGCGACAGCGCTGAGTAGCTGCGAGAGTGAACTGATAGCAGCTGTTGGAGGTCTGAGTGAAGGAGTTTTCTGCAGAATCTTTTGCACAGGGTTCTGGGAATCAGGCCTGACGTGGTCATTAGGATGGATTCGAGTAGCGCCAGATCAATCATCATGAAGAAAGGCCTTGGAAAGACAAGGCATATTGATGCTGGGCTGCTTTGGGTTCAAAGACTACGTTCTGTAGGTCTTCTAGTGAGAGCAATAGCTGGAAAGGAAAACCCTGCAGACGTAGGGACAAAAGCGTTGTCAAGAAACGCAGTTGTGAAGTGTTTGGAGAAGATCGGTGTAAGAACAGGAGAAGAAAAAGAAGAGATCAGGATTGCAAGTGACTTCAAGATACCCACGAAGTACTTGAGAAGACTGGTGATGATGATGCTGGTTCAGCAATGTGATGGGTTACGAGACCGAAGTGGTAAAGACAGTTCTGATGGAAGTGTTGGTGTGATGACGGTGGTGATGATGATGACCATGATGGTGGTCATGTTGTGCAACAGTAGCATGGAGAAGCTTTAGGAAAAGTATGGATTACATGTTTCATGCCGCCGCCGTTTTCTATTCAAGGAAAGAGGAAAGAGAAAAAGAGTTTGAAGAAGTTTGTGAAGATTTAGAAAAAGAAGGAAATGAGATGGAAGGAAGTGCAGGAAGTTCCGATGTGATGGAGAAAACAAAGCAGGCCTTGATCGAGACCTATGAGGCCCAACTGAAGACAATGATAGAAAAAGAGGCCGTCTCCATCGAGGCAATGAACTACTTGGATAGGTGCCTTAAGATGGCAAAAGATGACCCTAAGCGCGTCAGCTTGGATGAAGTCCAGCGCAAAATGCTGGAGCTTAACAGGTATGCGCCTCAGAGCGTACAGCCAAAGGAGATGGACCAAGGGGAAGTGATGAAGCTCAGAGAGAAAGAGGTCCTGCAGAAGCCGGAGGAAGCAAAGGCGAGACGCCAAGCCCAAGTGGAAAGGGCAAATGCGGTGAAAGAAGGAAGATAAAGAAGTTGAGTCATCCGACGAGGAGTTTCAAGAAATCATGAAGAAGATTGCTGAAGAGGCCTATGCAGAAAAGAGAAGATCGAAAAACAGTTGGATACGGTCCGAAAGGAAGAAGAAGTCCAGGAAGCCGAAGCAACGCAAGTGATGGACGAGGAAGCTGATCTTGTAGACGAGATGGATGTAATGCGGCCAAGGCTTGCAAAAGCGTTGCACGAGCTGCGTGAAAAGCGCAAGGAGATGAAACTTCCTGATGAGAAGCTTAGCTTGCAGCTGGGTGAAGACGAGAAGAAAGTGTTGGAAGAGTTTGAAAAGAAAAAGGCCAAGGAGATCAAAGAGATCAAAGAGGCAAACGAGAAAGAGGTCAACGATGCAAAAGAGCAAAAGGACAAAGAGTTGACAGATCTGAAGGAGCAGAAGGAAAAAGCGCCTGCGGAGTTTAAGGAAGCAAAGGAAAAAGAAGTGAACGAGTTGAACGAGGAGTTGCGGAAGCTTAAGAAAAGAAAGAGCACAAGTGCTGCGCCTCCCCGTGACGAAGAAAAGGGGGAGGAGCTTCGCAAGGCAAGAGAGGAAAAGAATAAAATGAAAGAGACGATAACGGATCTCGGAAAAGCGAACAAAGAGCTTGAAGCGGAAATCGAAAGATTGGAAGAGGAGAGTGAAGTGATTGAAGATGAAGACGGACCGCGGGTCTGCATGCTTTCTAGCCGATACGGCCACACAGCGGAGACGTGCTGGGATGCTGAGTACTCGTACCACGAAGGAGGTACTTACAAGCCCTGGTGCGAAAGAGAGAACAAGACAATGGCCAAGTTCAACACCTACTTTCGGAAGAACGAGCCACGCATCAGAAGAGAGTATGCCAAGAGGCTTGAAGAAAACAAGAAGAAGTATCGGGTGGACAACCCGAAAGTCCGAAAGGCAAAGGCAAAGGCAAGAAAGAGTCAAAGAGTTGAAAAGAAGGAAAGGAGAAGAGAGAGACCGTACGTCAGGTCTATAAACAAGGAGGGAAAAGAGAAAGACCGAGCCTCGGGTCTATAAAGAAAGAGGGATTTAAGAAGAGGGGGAAAAAGCCTCCCCAGGAGTTTTGCAGCACAGCTGCCGAGGAAGTTTCACAAGTAGTGTTGGATAAGCGGTAAATCCGCTGATGAGGAAGTGAGTTCTTTTGTGGCGAAAGCCAAAGGAAGTGAAACGAAGTAAAGAGCTTAGTGAAAGCAGCCGTAAGTGTAGCTTTTGTCTCTGCCGTTTCACACGACAAAAAGCAGTGCACCACGATGTGTTTAAAAGAGGAGTGAGCGACTGGTTTTGGGTTCGTAGCACCTCTAAAAGCAAAGTGCGGAAAGAGGCTGCAACGAAGAGGGGGTAACAAACATTTCGCTCAGGAGTGTGTGCCCCTGTAATCTTGTAGTTGAGCTGGATACCACGAGTTTTGTATAGCATGAAGCGAATGTTTCACTGTGGTGTTTAGGTTCAAGGGAAGCACCCGAAATCGTGCTCTCGGAGGAAAAGTGCCGAGCGATTATCGGTGTGTTACGAAAGGGTTTGGAACGTACCCGTAAAGCGTTTTACAGGTTGAAACACTGGTCTGTTTCACGTATCACTTGCATGTATCCAGGCCTGTTGCTCAAGGTTGTAGCAAAGTACGATCTACAGCTGTGCTCCTGTAGTAAAAAGGGCTCCTGCGAGCCTGTGTTCCTGTGCGCCTAGCCAAAGGGGATACACGCCCAGGTGAGGGGGAGAGAGCAGAAAACAGCAGGAAAAACGCGGGGGGGTCAGGGGAGGGTAAAAAAAACAAGTAAAATGAAGGGGGGGCCGGGTGGGGGGGGGGATGGGAAATGAACGCAAAAAACAAAAAGCGGGTGGGTACTTGAGCTGACCCCCAAGACGCCTGGGCTTGTGGCCTCGGCGGATATATAACATATAGTACATTATGTATAACATGGAAAATACAATATATCAGGCATTATATATAGGATGTATATGTAAACATATATGTATATACATAAATATGTATAATCATATGTAAATATGTAAATGTTTGACATATATATATATATATATATATATATATTTTCTATATATATATATATACACGTATATTATAGTAAATCATGTTCACTCAATATATAACATATAATATATAGCGTACAGTATATAATAAAGTATAATTTAAACTTTTAATATCCAATGTTTGTGGACGCTCCACAAATGTACGTTAGCAGTCGCCCCCGTCCCCCATTCGGAAGCACAGGAAGCCACGTGTAAAGGTGCGTGCCGCGCTCCTACTAGTTGTAGTTGTTGGTAAGGAGATTTTAGAGTCTCTGTAGGTCCCTAGGTCTCATAGGCAGTAGAAGGCACTCTTTCAGGCCGCTCCCCGTGGTGGCGGCCCCCGCAAGAAACCATAGTCTCACTATTGTAGCTTTTGTGGTGGATCGGTCCCTCTCTCAAGTTCAAGTCTCATCTGGAGCAACTTGCCAAGCCAGGCTCGACAAGCAGGAACGTCTTAGTGCCTTAAGAATCTTCATGTCAAAGTCTCTTGCCAAACTAAGAACCACCTCCCAAGAGATTGGACATCGACCTTCTTCAAAGTCTTTCACGGCGGTGCTTCTGCGGCTTTTGGGAAAGCGTGCGTCTAGCAATGTGCGGGGTTCAGATCACCGCCCAAGATCACGCCAGGGTTTCTCTCAGAAAATCCCGTAGCGCACTTGACTATGTCTACACATGTCAAAGCAGTTCAACTGCGCGTGACGACATGAATGCAGCGAGACATGCCTGCAATCATCAGGACCCAACACGTCTTAGCGCTGTTGCCTTGTCATGTGTGGGGATTTCGCGGAGGCACCTGAGTAGGACAGTTTTTTTCATGCAGCGCGGCAACACTGCAGGGTTGTTAGGATTCGGGCCGGGGCCTTTCTTTATGGTGTTGGACTCAGCAGCCATTCTCTCTAATTAATCCAGTCACCCGACAGAAAGCGAGCGAAGCTAAGACGGTAAGTCTAGGGTCCCATCCCTCAGCCATATCCACCGCCTAAAGGCGGTTGGTTGGACCAACTATTCAATGTTGCAGGGAATTTCATGTCGGAGATGCAGGGGAAAGGGAATTACTTTGCTGTGATCAATCACCAATCGTGTGACTGAAACTGCTCCCATGTTCTACTCCAATTCTACTCTTGCCAACCTTGGAGAGACAGACCACTTGTTTTAATATCAAGATCCTAGCTGACCCGCCAAGTCCTTCACTACTGAGGCGATGCCAAGATCCGCTTGCTCAACCCGCGATTCAACAAATTGATGCGACTGCGAAACAACAACGACGGGGTTGTGAAACTTTTGAGTCTGCAGGTAACAAATGCCAGAAGCAAGAGGGTTTTGGCATCCATCACGAATGCTCTAGGACTTCAAGCCATCTGTTTTTTGCTGCTGCAAAGTCACTTTTTGGCGCAAGTAGTTAGTGTCCCCTGCTATCACACAGACCGAAATTCAACTGCATTCCAAAGATGACTGGAAGTGGCCAGAGCCCCCATGGCCTTGATGGTGATGTTGGCTTGTAGCTCCTATCACCTTTATGCCCCCGTCGCGGTAGCCTTCCACAGGACGATTCCACACCCCTACTCCTCTGTCCGCCTTGCTTTCCGGCAGGACATGGATGGCTCGCCTCACTGGGGAAGCTGGGAGACCTTCACGGCTGTGGATGCTGGTGCTGGCAAGGCAAGGAGGAGATCAATGACGGAGTGGGAAGGGGGGGGGGTCATCTTGCCACCCTGCGGGGGATGGGGGGGTGGGCAGCCCCAGTCCAGTCTTCAGAGGATGCATCACCAATAGGCCCAGACCCCAACAGAATGACTAGAAAGGCCTTCAGGCTTTAGGCCAATTTAGGGAAGCTCAGACCAGAGAAATTCTAGGAGACTGTGAAAGAGAGACCTGACTCGTAAGGCTGCATCCACAAGCTAGCTGGCCCAAGTGGCGGAATCTCATGTGAAGCGTGTGAGCTTCACTGATTTAGAGGTGGTGTTCCGAAAAACATGCTTTCATCATGGTGTAATGCCGCCCGGGGGATAGAGAAGCTACTTCTGTGACTTCCCATGCAGTCATGTGAAGCTAGGCAGATGAGCTCGTGAGGTTTGGGGTGATCGCGAGTGCTAGCCGGGATTCACGTTAGCAGGGTGGGGGGCTTCTCGCCTCCATGCTTGCTGCATCTGACAAGAGCCCCAAAGTCCGAAGGCGGAGGGCCAGAGGCGTAGCAGCGAGCCACTTGCATCAGGTGGCTCTTCACTGTGCGGCCCACAACAAGTACATGAGGATGCCGCACCGTCATCACATGGATTCTGAGATACAAATTCAGCCGTGATGTTCCACACATCGCCTTCATATTTTCATGAACGATCCTTACTCACATGCCTTGGAAGGGATTGGAATTGATAATCGTGAGATCCTGAACATTCCTGGACCAAGCCAAGGACACCAGCTCTCATCGCAACGCCTGGGACCGGGGGTCTGGGCTGAATGCGTAACCGGGGAGTTCGAACGTACGGAAGTTGGAACGTACTGTCTGCAGCACCGCGTCTTCGGTTGTTGTGTGCAGAAACTCTTGGAAGTCTTTCGGAAGGATCTGCCGTGGAACTGGGGCTGGGAGCGGTTCAAACCGGTCTCTGCGCCCCGGCCGCAGTGCAAAGTCCGGAGATCAGCAGCAGCACCTGGATGCACATCTGTTGGAGCCTTTCTTCAGGCTTTTCTGCGGCACGGCACCATCGTCGCGCTTTGGTGACCTGCTTGCCTTTAGGCAGCAAGGCACGCCCGCATGCAGCCTCAACCAGCCGAGGAACGCCGGGCACCACCGCTTCATGCGCATGAACGCACATAACGGCCACATGGACGGCTCGCCAAGGACCGAGACATTTTGATGACCCTAAGTGGAACTAGAAGCCTCTACATGGGAAGGGACGGAGCCCACAGGACCTCTCTACCAGTAGTTCGTCTCAGATTTCTAGACTCTAGACAGTGGTGTGATAAATTTCTCAGATCGCCAGAATACTTTCGGAGTTTCTTTTTTCTGTGGTCCTGGATGATTCTGTGCAGGAAGCATCTCCACCACTTCCCCTCTGGTTGGCAATGGGAGAAGCTCCGGGTGCCTCGACACAGGAGCTTTGGACACTTGCCCAAGCTTCCCTTTCTCAGTCTGTTACGCGCAGTCGGTCGGCAGCTATCATGTGCCCCTCATTCTGGCGTCCAGCAAGTCTGCCGAGGTGGTGGATGCCGGCTATGGCCAAGTCGCTCTGCACAGCGCGTCAAGCAATCGCTTCGTCAAGATGAGTAGTCATGCCTCTTGCTCCAATTTGTCCTGTGATCGACCATGAGATACCGTAAAGAGCATTCGTTAAGGTATCCATGCAGTGCCCCGTGGAAAATATTCGTGGGACGCGGCTCCCGCTGTGACAGTGCATGTTTGGTGCTGGGGCCACGTTTCGGCTTACAAAACCTTGAATTGGGCCAGGAAGTGCCTGGGGGAAGAATCCTGAATCCCACCAGAACATGGGGGAAGCATCAGAGCCATGCTCCAGAATCCCGCCATAACTTGGGTGAAATCATGTTGGCCGTGGTCCTGAACCTGCCAACACTTGGAAAGCAGTTTGGCCGTGCTCCCGAATGCACTAGTACTTTGTCGCGCTCCTGAATCCCATCAGCACTTGTGAATCTTGCCAGTGCTTGGGTGCCAGTACGTGGGGAAAGCATGTTGGCGGTCGTCCTAATCCACTTGGCCGTGCTCCCGAGTTCACCAGCACTTGCGCAAAAACAGTTTGGCCGGGTCTCTTGGTGCACGTTCTCTTGCTGGTCTCCTGGTCTCCTGTGCTCTCCTGGTGCTCTCCTGCTGGTGGTCCTCGTGGTGTGGTCTACCGATCTCTTGCTGATCTCTCGTGGTCTCCTGGCGGCTGTTGTCGTGTTGGTCGTCGTGCTCGTCGTGGTGGTCCTGGCGCTTGTGTGGTGGTGATCGTCTTCGTCTTGGCCGTTGTGGGCATCATAGTCGTCAAGCGCTGTATGACTGTTTGGGGACCTACACTAGCAGTTGTTTCGAGAGCTTGTTCCGTGTGCACCTGCATCCCAAGGACATGATTCGCTCGCCACATCGCAACCACCATCAGCTGCCGTCTGGTGGCAACATGTAGCTTGAAGCCAGAGCGGATACGGTTGGCGGTGTTCAGTTTGCAATCCCGGCACGAAGAAACCGAGGCCTTGGGGCTGGGGTTCCGAACGCTTCACGGTCGTCGATGCGCACGGCACGGATCCTTCGGAGAGTGTTTCTTCTTCATGTGGGCCCCAAGCTTGGCCGTATGTGCCCTGCGCATCCTGAGGCCACGGCCGCGTCGCTTTGCACAACCCTTGGAGGAACCGTGACTGGGCCGAGAGATTTATAGGGTTCATGGGCTTCATACAGGACCGTGGAAACTCCTGAATGCAATGACAAGGCTTCATCAAGATGTGCAACCACGGCGATGGTTGCCTCAGTCCTCACAGGGAGCGCGGGGATGCCTCAAGGGGTCTCTCCAAGACTAAGTGTGTTGTCTTTTGTTTTCGGCTTTCCATTAAGCTGCTAGCACAGAGATTCGGACCGATTCACGGTCCTGTCTTGCAACTCTTTCAACAATCCGGCCAGGACCCGCACTCGCTGCCCCACAATTGGGGCTCGCAGCAGCCCCAAGCCGTGTCCGTGTGTGTACGTGTGCTAGCAGTCTACAGCCGGAAAGGTCACGCAACGCGAATCAGTTGTGTTTTTGTAGGGTTGGAGTGCATCAGCAGCTCCCTCGACCTGTGAGAAGAAGGAGAGAGAGGGAGATGGCGAAGGCATAACGAGTTCAGACAACAGAGGTCAATGTTGATCCAAGTATCGGTTGTGTGCTCTGTTTTGATGTTTGGTCAGACCTCTGCTGTGGTCCTGAACTGGAGGACGTTTGCTGCGAAGAGGGATGTGGAGTGTCCCTATGCAACTTGCGGTCCTGGTTTGTTGTACTGAAGTTGTAGAGGGACCCAATGAACTGTGGCTTCATCCTGCTACAAGTTACACATTTGTACATGTTGTAGGCTGTGCATTCTATTTGCTTGGTCACAACGAAGCAGGAAACAGAAGCCGACAATTCGAGCATGTGTTAGAAACTGCTGTGAAATCCTTAGTCCTTCTACAATCAACATATGCACTCGGCCTAACGCGTCACCTCTGCCCTGCGGAAGAAGAAGAAAAGAGTTAAGGCTAAGAGACAGAGTCATGCTCCCAACCGTAGGTTTTTTTTTCGCCCCTAGGCCGTGTGAAAGAGAGAGAGGCAGAGAGCCATGAGACCAGGACGAATGCGCGGGCGAGAGCAGTGTCCACCCCTTCCCTTCAACCAAGACAGAAAGACAGTGTGCACGGGGAAGAAGAAAGAAAGAGCGCGGGCTGCAACACAAGAAAGCTGACAGCACCCTAAGCGCTTCCACAGGCCAGTGCTAGGCGGGCTCTCCACCGCCTAACTTCGGACCACATGCGACTGACTTCAAAGTTTTCAACATGACGCAGAATATTTATGGACCCGGGCCTGCCTGTTGCTTCCGATGCGGTGGTGGACTGCCCAAATACGAAGCACAAGGAGTCGCCGCGCAAAGCTGTTGTTGAACGGGATTTGAGTTCAGAAGTGGGAAGCTGAAAGGCGAAGCTGAAGGTCGCCAGCAGAGATCGACAGAGCGTTCTCCGAGCGTAAGCTGGGAGCACATGGCTCCATGTGAGCCGCTTGGGGCGCTGACACGCCGGGCTGCTGGCACAGGGGTTGTCGGTCGCAGTCTAGATCTGAAGGCCTCGGCGCGAACTCACACAACAGGGAAAAACTTAGGCAATACAGCCTGTGTACAACGGCGACGACCGCAAAGACGGCGAAAGAAAGAGGGGGGGGGGGTGTCTGCCTTGCCCAGAAAGGAAAGCAAGGCAGACCGTGCTGGACAGAAACAAAGAGAGAGATAGAGAGAGAGAGCCCGTGGCGGGGGGAGCCACAACGCATCCAGCTGATGCCATCGCCTTAGCGGAACCCGGTACAAAAGAATGGACGGCGCGCAGCAGCCAGCTGCATTCTACAGCCAGACGCCTCATGGACGCCGCCAAGGAGCTCAAGGAGAAGGTGCCGTACATGGGGGGAGAAAGCATAGGAGCAGCTGTCCAGACCCTGGCCGCATTGGACGCATGGCAACAAGCCTACTTCGGGGGAGTCCACGCGATCCATGACAGCACACCGACAGGAGACGAGGTGGAAGACGCAGGGGGACATGTGCAAGCCGAAGACCCGCCTAACCTGCCTCTGGAGACCAACCGGGGGACGAAGAGGCGATGGCTGGGACTACATGGCATGACAGAAGCTGAAGCCCAGGCCCTTGAAACGGATAGCTTCCCAGCGGACTTGGGGGAGGTAGAAGCAATGGCTACCCTTCCACTCCCGACTGCACCGGACATCGACTCCGCGGACGCTGAGATACTACCATGGCCAAACGCGGGGGAAGCAAACCACCCGAGCGCTACTACCCGACCGAGATCTGAGGAGCCGGGGGATGACACGGACTCCAGCCCGGCCTCGCATAGGCTCAGAAGGCTCCATGGTGCTTTCTTCAACCGGCACGGACCCATCTAAGAAGGACGGGGGAACAGCCAGAACTGAAGAGCCCGAGTGTGTGCTGAAGTTGTTCTTTGATGCATAGTGTCTTACATCATACGAGGGGGCATGTTTCAACAAAGCACTGGACAGCCTAACAGCTTAGCTTGGAAGTGGTTCATCCCACCCTTCGTCGTCACTGCATCGTACTGTGATACCGTCCTTTGCTGCTTTGCAAGAACGGGGGGAAACCACTAGCAACCCCAGTACCGCAATATCATGGCATCGTCTTGTGTTCTGCTTGGCCTGATACTCAGTTGGTGTGTTTCCACAGTGCGGCTGCTACAACAACGGGGGGGTGATGCGTATTGTGCAAGTCCTAGGGAACTAGCCTAAGAGGGCGCGGCGATGAGGCCGGGACGCAGGATAGTGTACAGGTTTGGGGGGGTTTAGCACCATACGCACATCACCAATTGCAATACCCAACGGGGAAAACCTCCCACCACGGATCCCAATGCCTCCTTCCACCAACAGGGCAGGAAGGGGGGGGCCTAGGCCCGGGACGGCCCGGGTCTGTTCGCAGACTCAACCCCAGCAGCGAGCGAGCGAGCGAGAGCCCGTGGGACGAGGCGGCCGGGGATCACACTTCAGTTCAGGTTCAGGTTCAGGGGGGGATATACCGGAACAGGCCGGCGCCTCGCACAAACAACGGGGGACTTTTCACACCGAGACAACCCCAGTGCGCACTCGTGCGCGATGGGGGGCGGACTGCTTCCTTTTTGGCTGCGTGCAAGCAAGCAAGCAAGAGAGAGAGAGAGTCAATACGGTGGGGGGGCATGATGCCCGAGGGCGTTGACCGCGCCCTCATGCCCAGGAGAGAGAGAGAGAGGGACAGCATTCGTGCGCGGAGTGGGCCGGGACCTTCCTGCTCCTGGCTGCGTAGAAGCAAGAGAGACAGTGCCAGAGAGAGCGAGAGAGAGACGGGGACTGCGCTAACTGTGCCGAGGAAGAAGAAGGGAGATAGGGAAGAGCTAGCTTGAGCTTGCTTGAGGGAGTTCTTCCACGTGCTCGAGGCCTGTGCCGAATCTCAGGGTGCGAGAACCGGGCAACAGCTGTGAGTATCTAGTGGAGATTCCGGACTTTCTCTGCAGATCAAGCCTTGCCACACCGGCGGCGGCGGCCACTGCAAAACCTGCCAAAACCCATGGCACCGACATGTCGGGTCCCAAGCAATGCGTTTACAGCCTTCAGATAGAAGCAAGCACAGGCATGCTCAGTCCTCAGAGCAACAGTAGTGCCGTGTCTGCACTGTACAGCAAGCCACGCAGTGTGGGAATCGGCTCGCCGAATTTTCGGTGATATCACATCATACCGTGTTAGGCACCATCATGTAACATACTCGGTCGGAGGCTGGAACACACAGGTACACAGTGTCGGGCGGCCATGCACTGTAGCTGTCAGACTGGGGCACTGAACGGCGAACTGCCAAGGTCGACCACCACTGCGCCACGTGCAATCCGGGCTACTACAGGCATGGCCACGGCTGCAAGGCGGGGTTCCGGGTTGCACCCGCTTGCCGGATGGATCAAGCGCTCGCACGACTGCTGTTTGGCACAAGTTGGTGTCACATGTTGGTGCACTGCAGGCACATACGGGCTCGATCGCATGCATGAACACTCGTTTTGCTCGCGCGAAGGCCCACAAAGATTTTTGTTCGAACGCCAGGCAGACCGCCTGACCGAATCATGACAGTTTTCATGCTCTCCCACACACAGACGCTGTATGGAGGTGGAGTGCCCATCGTAGTTTTTTACGCCAGGCCTACAGCTGCACGGGCGGCGTTCATCGCATTTGCCACGCCTGCGTCGCCCAGCATCAGCGCAGGGTGCCAGGGGGCCGGGTTCGGTTCCGGCAAAAGCGGGAGATTCGCGAAGGGTTTTCATTAGGATTGTCTTGTATCTACATGCCTCGACCACATTGTGCCTTCCAATCTGTAGCTGCCGCTGAGCGTTCAATGTCCGAAGATGCAACAGCATTGCCTCCCTCAAAAGCAGCACACAAGCGCCTTGGACCATTGCCTGCACCCCTGCAGCAAAATGACCACTGCGGAGTCTGCGACGGCGGCCACGTCCTCCGCGGAACACGCTGCCAGGCAACACAGGGCCGCATGAAGGGGGATGGGGCAGCACGTGTGGTTTGCGCTGTGCGGTGGTAGTGACGTACATAGACTCACAGACAGACTGCGGCACGATATTCGTTGTGGCAGTCCTTGATGCTGGGTGCCACGGTGGCTTTCCACAATCGCCATCACCACGGTCGCTTCGTCGCTATGCAGCTCGGGCCGGATAGAGACAAATTTCACGGTTGCTCTGAGGAACAGGCAACTTGTAGACCATGCAAGAGCGCAGCTCCCCTGACAACCCAGGTGGGGCCACGACATGGTCTGGACAGGCGTCCGAAGATATGAAACGTGGCTGTCGAGAATAGGCCTCGTTGCGCTGGACGGCAGATCTCCTTTGCAAGGGTTCGATGTCAATCCAAGCTCCATGCTCTCACATGTCGCAGCACTGCCAGACGCACAGTGTCTGAGAACGGCTTTTTGCACATGAGCCGCGCACCCAGGACAGCCTGCCCAAGGATTGGACCTACAGCTTCTTCCGGGTCCACTTCGCAGGCGAGCGCGTCAGCTCTAGGAACCACAGTCCAAGACTGCGAGACCGTGCGTGTTGTGAGGGCATCCTTGCAAATCGTACTCGGTCCGAAGTTGTGAAAGCGAACTGAGGTGACGCGAAGATTGGCTTGCACAACCCACGAGAAAACCGGTGGATCCGGTTGAGAAACAACCATGACCGACGGCCTTGCCATGCCTTGTCGCTAGAACTGGTCTCTAAAGGGACGTGCCTATCCGGCTATCCTGTTCAGATGAATGAGGAGTTGCCCGGGTTTCGATCCACGTTTCTCTTCCATGCGATGCCTTCGGGTGCGGAGTTAGCCTGCAAGATTGGCATCTCTTGTACTTAGGGATAGCTACAATCGCGCGCGCTCAGCTTTTCCATTCTCGAGTAGCACGAATTGGGACCACACTGTTCTAATTTGCTGGTCCTGATTCCCGGATTCCCAGCAAGTCGGCGCATGTATTGTCATCGCCCGCCCATCACCGCAGGACATGGACGGCGCACCCCACAGGGGAAGCTGGGAGACCTTCACAGCCGTGGATGCCGGAGGGTGGGAGGCCATCTTTCCGGGCATTGAACTTTGAACCTCTCCCGAAGAAACACTGGAAGGTCGATGCGGGACCCAGGCGAGCGCGACGTGCGAAATTGGAGCATTTCAGTCTCGACGTAAACTGCCGCAGTACTGCACGCGTTTCGGGGTGCGACTCGTCCCGCCACGCTGCAGACAGGGCGGTCACCGGTTCCATGATGGGCCCACTATTGTGGGTGGCACGCGCATTTTGGAGGTTTTGGAGTTTGGGGAAGTTTGTGCTCCTGGAATGGGCTCGTTCAATGTTTGGGGTCGACGCTGAAATAACCAATGTTTCTGCGATGTACGCGGCCAGTAAGTGCAATAAACACCATGCCACAACGAGAGCCTCGCGGAAAGTTCAGAATTCATGAAGACTAAGCAATGACAAAATAATTGGCCAGGGCTAGAGCTTTTCACTGATCCACCAATTTCTCGAGTCGGGGGTACGACGGGAATCAGATTCTTCAGTAGCTGCGCGTGTCAATGGATTCTGTGTTTCTTTGTGTTAGTTCGCTTCAGTCAACATCGTGCTCTCGCCGATCCTGGGGCGCTAGTGGGCGACTATAATGCTACCGCGACACCTTCACAGCAAAACGCTTGATGTCCGCGTGCCTGGCAAACCCTGCGCTCGCCAAAGTCCCCCAAGCAATCCACGGTTCAAGTCGTGCTCACGAGTCTTGCATGTCTTGCTCCAGCTTCGTGAAGCGCCGTCGCGAACTCACGGCAGGGCCATTACTCGGCATGTCTTGGAGTGTTCTAGGGCTGCATACTCCGGGCCTCCTTTCGCGGCGTGGTGTTTTCCAGGCCCTGTTGGTGGTCTTGCGCTTCTAAGTTTGCGACGCCACACGAATGCCTTTTAATTGTAAATGTTAGCAGCTCGTAATGTTACATCCGTGGTGAACATGAGATGTGTTCTAACCTGGGTCAGTCTTAGCCTATCAAGCTGTCCCGGCGTGCAACCAACCACCAGGTGGCCCTGCACTGCGCGGCCCACAATAAGTACATGCGGATGCCGAACAAGCGCGAGATGGATGCCAAGATCCAAATCCAGCCATATTTGTCAGTTGGTTGTCAAGCTGTCCTGTCAGCCGACAAACTCATGAAGAGTGCTGGCTTACATGCCTTTGCTGGTGACTTGGCGTACGGCCCGAAGGTGCTGCATTATCTTGATCGTGAGAGCATGAGACCTTCACCAAGCCAAGGACACAAGCTCTCATCGCAACCCCTGGGACCGGGGGGTCTGGGCTGGTTGTGCAGCCTGCAAGTTGGATCGCACAGCTGGCTGCGAACACTTCGTCTCCGAAGGGCGTCCCTGTTCCAAGAAGCCTTGGTGCATCGCTCTGTGCCAGGACCTCCCCGGTGGCTGGGGCTGGGAGCGCTTCCGGCCAGTCTCGGTGCTCTGGTTGCGACGGCAAAGCTGAAGCTGCTCACCCCACCACCCTACTGCCACTGCCACTGCCACTGCTACTGCTACTGCTACTGCCACTGCCACTGCCACTGCCACTGCCACTGCCACTGCCACTGCCACTGCTACTGCCACTGCGACTGCTACTGCTACTGCTACTGCTACTGCTACTGCCACTGCCACTGCCACCGCCACCGCCACTGCCACTGCCACTGCCACTGCCACTGCCACTGCCACTGCCACTGCGACTGCTACTGCTACTGCTACTGCCACTGCCACTGCCACTGCCACTGCCACTGCTACTGCTATTGCCACTGCCACTGCCACTGCCACTGCTACTGCCACTGCGACTGCTACTGCTACTGCTACTGCTACTGCGACTGCCACTGCTACTGCCACTGCCACTGCCACTGCCACTGCCACTGCCACTGCCACTGCCACTGCTACTGCTACTGCTACTGCCACTGCCACTGCCACTGCTACTGCCACTGCCACTGCCACTGCCACTGCCACTGCCCCTGCTACTGCCACTGCCACTGCCACTGCCACTGCCACTGCCACTGCTACTGCTACTGCTACTGCTACTGCCACTGCCACTGCCACTGCCACTGCCACTGCCACTGCCACTGCCACTGCCACTGCCACTGCGACTGCGACTGCGACTGCGACTGACTGCCACTGCCACTGCCACTGCCACTGCCACTGCCACTGCGACTGCTACTGCTACTGCTACTGCTACTGCTACTGCGACTGCCACTGCCACTGCCACTGCCACTGCCACTGCCACTGCCACTGCCACTGCCACTGCGCCACTGCCACTGCTACTGCAGCCACTGCCACTGCCACTGCCACTGCCACTGCCACTGCTACTGCTACTGCTACTGCCACTGCCACTGCCACTGCCACTGCCACTGCCACTGCCTACTGCTACTGCTACTGCTACTGCCACTGCCACTGCCACTGCCACTGCCACTGCCACTGCCACTGCCACTGCTACTGCACTGCTACTGCACTGCCCCACTGCCACTGCACTGCCACTGCCACTGCTGCTACTGCTACTGCTGCTTACTGCTACTGCTACTGCTACTGCTACTGCTACTGCCACTGCCACTGCCACTGCCACTGCCACTGCCACTGCCACTGCCACTGCCACTGCCACTGCTACTGCTACTGCCACTGCCACTGCCACTGCCACTGCCACTGCCACTGCCACTGCCACTGCCACTGGTACTGCTACTGCTACTGCTACTGCTAATGGTACTGTTATTGCTACTGCTGCTTTTATTGCAGCAATTTGTATTATTCTGACAATCAAACTTGCTATTGCTATTGCCATCGTGTTGCTCGTGTTTTTCCCGAACAGCGTAAGCTATGGGGTTTTCAGCCGAAAGAAGGTTTGGGGCAGATTGTGGCAAGGGCTCCAGCTGGTTCCTGGGCGGTTCCGCATTGGGCTCCAGCAGGTTCTGGGACGGTTTCGCCATGGGTTGAGCTCCCAAAGCCCCCCCACCAACCGCAAATGCATTCCCCGAGGCCTCCTAAACTCATTTTGGCCATGGTTTCAACAAACCTGGAGCTCCATGCCGTCCCTTAACCCGAAAATCCTACTGCACATCCGCATGCTTTACTTTGCTGTGCAGGGTGCCAACATGCATTTGTTAAGGCTTGGAAAGCGCATTTAGGAGCTGCGTCAGCTTTGCTGATGTTCCTCGCCTGCTAAACACGCGTGGCCTTGGTTTCAACATGTCTGGTTCATTGGCGTTCCGAAACCCGAAATTCGTGCTGCAAATGCTCCAGTTCCACGGGGCATTCTCAAGCCTTGGAAAACGCAATTAGGAGTTTCAGCTTTGCTGGTGTTCCTGGCCCATTCCCCGAACCGAAATCGAGCTCCCTAAGCCTCCAACCGACCAACTCCAAATGCATTTTTAGAGGCCAACTAAATGCATTTGGCCGTCATTTCAGCAGATCTGAGGTTCAATGCCGTCCCTAAACCCGAAAGTCCTACCGCAGATGCTTTACTTTGGTCTGCAAGGCCCGAAGAGCGTTTTTCAACCCTTGGAAAGCGCATTTAGGACAGGAGCTGCATCAGCTTTGCTGGAATGCCAAATCGCGCTCGCCAAACCCTCGACCAACCCCAAATGCATTCCTGAGGCCTGCTACACGCCTTTATACGCCTTTGGTCCTGGTTTCGACAAATCTCCAGTTAATTGCCGTTCAAACACCCGGAGACGCAGCCACCCATAAACCGTTCGAATCAGAATATTTTGTTCAATGCCCCCCTCTACAGCTCAGTCAGCTTTTTTTGCCCTCTCGTGTGAGCCCAAGCATTTCGGTGTTGGGGTTATTCAATGGGATTATTTTCGTATTGAGATTGCTTGTTTACTGTAAAAATACACTTGTTAGGCATATTACTAATGCTGCTTGAACGACGACGACGACTACTACTACTGCTCCTGCTCTTACGGCGTACTGCTGCAAGGACTACTGCCATATTGGTATCACTAAAACAACGACTTTATTATGTCGATCTACTACGGTTCTTGTTGCCACTGTTGGTCTCATAAGAACTACTATTGCGATGACAGTTACAACTGCTGTTGCTATAGTCATTGCTACTGCTAGTGCGATTGCTAGTGCGATTGCAATTGCTGTCGTTATCAATATTTGTAATACGAGTACTATGACTATGAATCAATGCTAGTAGTACTACTAACGCTAACTAGTCACTAGTCCTACCAGTATTACTGGATATAACTGGTATTGCTAGTACAACTGGCACTGCTGCGACGACAGCAACGATCACTCCTACGTACTTCTGCTAGGACTGCGACTGCTACGAGTACGACTCGTCATTTTTCTTGTAGTTTCGGCGTTGAAGACGCCTGCCATGTGCCATCAGCGTGGCCACCCTTTCCCACCACGACCAGCACCCCACACCAGCGCTGCCAGAGTCATTGCCAACATCACCACTGCTGATACCGCTGCTACTACGCTGTATTGAGTACTACCACCACTGCTGCCACGAGTTCTGCTGCAGCTGCCGGTAGTGCTACTGCGACGGCGACGCTACTGCAACTACGAACTACCACCATAACCATCATTGATCACCACTGGCGCCCCACTGCTTGTGCTGCTACTGCCACAATCGCAGCAACCACTCCAACCAGAACAAGAGAACCGAATATCCGCCATCCTTTGCGCCTTGCGCCGTCCGGACTCAGGCTCTTCTCCGGCACGGCACCATTGTGGCGCTGTGGTGCCTCTGGGCTTTGCCTTGGGTTGTTGTGAGTTTGTGCAGTGTTCAGGTTGTATACACTGCAGTCGCACTCAGAGGTGTTCCTCATGGAAGGTTACGTTATCTGCGCAGGAACGAGATCCACCACCGCTTCATGCGCATGAATGCCCACAACGGGCACATGGACGGCTCTCCATCCAAGCACTTGCACCACTATCCCGCCCATGGGTGGGGATGGGAGCCCTTCCGGGTCCGCAGCTCAGAATCTCAGTACGCGGTGCTGTGCCGATTGCCCAGCATGACTTCTGAGGTGCTACGACTTTTAATCCATTTTAAGCCCTGGTAACATCTTTGAGCCCTTCGTCGATCTTCGTGACCTGTTAGGTGGTGGACGCTGGTTTCGGACAAGTCGCCCTGCACAACGCGCACAACAACCGTTTCATCAAAATGGCTCACGAAGCTTGGTGTGTTCAGGTTGTAGCATGTACAGTCGAGCTCGCAATCCTGTTTGGGCATTGGTTTCGGGCTTTCCGACGCCTCGACGAGGACATGATTCGTTCACCGACTCGCAACTGGAACCAGCTGCCTCTTTGCCAGAAACGGATCTGTGCTTCCTAGCCCCCATGAAATTTCTCGCATATCTCGACTCTCCGATCTGCTCCGAGGCCTGGCGGCTGGGGCTCCGAGCGGTTTACCATCGTCGATGCAGGCGCGAATGCCTGGACTTCCAGCTGCCGTTCCGTGTGCCACGCCGCCAAGGTCATAGCCATGGGGCCCAAAAGGTCGCACTGCACAACTCGCACTACAACCGCCGCCCGGCTGGAACTTTTGTGGTGAAAACGTTCGAAACACGTGCAACGAGCACTGCGAGCGCGACGAGTACGGCCGAGGCTTTGTCTCCATGTGTCACCATGGCGATGGGTGCGTGAGTCCTGGCAAGGCGCAGTTTGGTGCCCCCTGAGTCCTACAGTTGCCAGCGTTCCTGCAGGGGCTTTCTTGGGTCTGCTAGGGCCGGGCAGTATAAACATGGCATAAGCGGCATAGCAAATTCTGCACTTGCCGAAGTTTGCAATGTGCTCCCGCCACAGTACCGTGCGTATCTTGGGGTGCAAATCGAATCGCCTCAAAAAGCATGCTCTTGTGACAGTCGCGCGCACATTCTTGATGTTCCCGCCACGCTGCGGTGGCCAATCGTGCTCCTGTCACAGTCTGTCTGGTGCGCTTTTTGGACTCTTGCGCACCTCAGACAAAGTTCTTGGGTATGTAGGTCTTGTCCTGCTAACCCCAGTGTCCCTTCAATGTTTGCTTGTCTGGGACCTGGCATGTCTGAAACAGCAGTACCATGCTGCTGGAATTGGCATAGCAACAACAGTACCTTCGCCAGGCTCCTGACCATTTGCCCGGTGGGTGGACGTGGTCGGTGACCCAGAGTGACCGCTCTGCGAGCATTGAGAGGGATACAAGAGAGGGAGAGGGCGAGAGAGATGCAGAGAGCACCTCTGACTCATGGCCTTTGCAAAGATAGGGGCTACAAATTCAGAGGACTCTACGCGGCCCTTGTCTGGCCCTTAAGCCCAAGGAAGGATGGCGAACTTGCACTGCAAGTACTGACCACTAGGGTCGATGAACTTTCTTGACTGTTAAAGAACAGGTAAGTTTGTCAGTTGATGCTACATATCCATATCTATGCAGTCGCGATGGCCCAGCAATCTCCTTCGATCAAACTCGCAGGCTGCGTCAGCGGAAATTCCGACTTGCTAAATGCGGTTCGAATTGTGTGATCATCTCCTTTCTAGATGTGTTGTCACGCTGCCCTTCAAAGCTCGTGACATGTCAGTCGTCGAATGTCCTTGGCGAGAGAATTTCTGCATGGATCTGCCTGTGCCCACACCAACAGACGAACTGCAGCGGGCCCCATTTCTAAGCTTGCTAACCTCGTTATAGGCACCACATGAGGCTGGCTCTGAACGTTTTAATTTTGGAATCATCTTGCCTCAAGTGCTTCAGACAGCCATGTGTTCTGTTTATGGTATCAAGCGTATCTGTGAGACGGATCCTTGCCCCTACTTTCAGAACATCTGTAGACCACGTTCAGACTCAAAGTCCCAGAGAAAATCTTATGCTCGCAACTCAACCTAACTTACGTTTCCGAGCAGGGCCCAAGAGAACATGCGGGAAGGGCCACAAACCTGCGAGGTAGGACTGCAGGGCTTTAGCAGAGGGAAGGTAGAGGACTCGAGGACCTAGAGCCGCGGTTGAGAACGATGAACAGCACCAACCCTCAGGCAGCAGTTCCACGTGCTCGAGGTCGGGCGTGGAACGGAACCTTGCAAGACATCTGAAGCACAAAAGCATGGGTAGATTTACCGATTTAACCACAACGCAAGCCCCTGATTGGCCAGATCAAGCCTTGCACCACCGGCGGCGGTGGTCACTGCAAGACTTGCCAAAACCCATGGCATCGACATGTCGGGTCCCAAGCAAAACGTTTACAGCTTTCAGATTGAAGCAAGCACAAGCTTCCGCAGTGCTTTGTAAGGTCAACCACCACTGCGCCACCTGCAACGCCGGCTACTACAGGCACGGTCACCACTGCAAGGCGCGCGGCCGGTTGAAAGGGAGACGCGCATGCGAAGCTCGCCCTGTTACGTGGCAGGCCTACAGCTGCACGACCGGACGGTATCGCCTCTGCGGCTCCTGCGTGGCACAGCACCAGCGCACGGTGCGCCGTCAGGGATGCTTAGGTTTTCGGGACCGCTTCGGGAGTTGCACCGGCAATCAGCCCCGAAACAAACATTTGAGTGCCTAAACGCCCGACTGCTGCGACACATGCACTTGGGAGCACTGCATTTCACTGCCCTGTCTGCCGCAGCAAAACGACCACTGTGCAAGCTGCAACGGTGGCCACGTTCTCCGTGGAAAGCGCTGCCAGGCAGGGAATTTGCATTAGACGGGACGTGTTTGGAGATGGACCCCAATAGCAACGCGATGTCTAGTCTGCGGAGACTTGTTCCCTGCCAGTCCCGGCTGTTGGGTGCGACGGTGGCCTTGCATAACCCGCACCACAATCGCTTTGTGGAGATGCCGCTCGGGAGTGTGAGCTTTTCGTGCTGACTCTTGCCGTGTCGCTTTCCTGTTTTCAGAGCGCATACTTCATGGCGCAGCCCACCTAGCACCAGTCCGTATCTGAAATGGCTGCAGCAACCAAGGAAACACTCCAACTTGGTCCGGACTGGAGGGAAGAGGGCCGAACCTCGGTGCTGCAGAACTTTCACCTTTGGCAGTGTGGTGCAAGAAGTCTCGAGATTCCCCGTCTCTGGGTTCTCTGGGTGTCCCATTGTTGCGGGAGTTTTTGTTCGATTTGGTGCGGGAGTTTTTTTTCCATTTGTTCCCGGCGGTGCGTGGTACTAGTAGCAGGCCAGCACAAGCAAGCAAACCAGAAAACGAGCAGAGTAGGCAAGCAAGCAAGCAAGCAAGACCATGAGCAGAGTAGGCAAGCCGAAGGCAGGCAGACAGGCAGGCAGGCAACCAAGTAAGCAAGCAAGCAAGAGAGGAAAATCAAGCCAGCCAGAAGCAAGCAAGCAAGGAAGCAAGAGAAGAAGACCAGCAGAAAAAGCAAGGAAGCAGGAGAAGGAGTACGCAAAGCGAGCAAGCAAGCGATCAAGCATGTATCACACAAGCACACATACAGGAAAGGATGCAAGCAAGCAAACATTGCCATAAATGTTACTGATTCTATCAATACAACTATGACGATGACGAGAACTACTACTTTCACCACTCCAGTAGTGTTGCTATCAATGTTACCTTTCTGGTATTGTTTCTGCAGCTACGACTTTTGAGAGGACCATTAGCATTACTATTGCCAGTACTGTGACTAGAACTGTTAGCTGCCAGCAGTGTTGCTATTGCCATTGCTTTTACTGGTTACTAGTACTACTACTATTTACTCGTACTGGTGCTAGTACTGGTGCCATTAGTGGTTTACTACTACTACTACTACTACTACTACTACTGCGACTACTACTACTAGCTACTAGCTACTAGCTACTACTACTACTACTGCTACTACTACTACGACGACGACTACTACTACTACTATTGCTCGTAGTGAGACGATCACTACTAACTAGTGTTGCTGTGACTACGGCTTTTATTCCTTTCTTATTATTACAAGTAGAAATACTACTATATCATCATTACTACTGCTGGTCTGCTATTGCTAATACAGTAATACTGCTAGTATTATCAGTTTCCGTACGAGTATCACTATCCGTGCTACTATTTCTCTTACTCGCAGTAATACTTGTATCATTAGGCTTGCTGCTGGTACTGCTCTTGCAAGTGTTAGTACCATAGCTGCTATTAGTATCAGTACCACTTACATTTTTGTGTTTGTTTCCATTTTTATTGCTACTACCATGTGCCATGAATATTCTTGGCATACTTGTAAGTTCATTTTGTTTGCCTGTCTAGTTATCACTGTTACTATCCTTTGCATGAGCTTATGTTTATGATATTGCTCTTGCGGTTGATATTGTGGTTGATTTGATTGCTAATTTTCTCATGTTTGATACTACTACTACTACTACTACTACTACTACTACTACTACTACTCCTACTACTCCTACTACTACTACTACTACTACTACTAATCCTACTACTTCTACTACTACTACTACTACTACTCCTACTACTTCTCTACTACTACTAACTACTACTAACTACTACTACTACTACTACTACTACTACTACTACTACTACTACTACTACTACTACTACTACTACTGCTACGACTACTACTACTACTACTACTACTACTACTATGACTGCCACCAGTATGCGATATTTTTATTAGTAGTAGTAGTAGCAGTAGTAGCAGTAGTAGCAGTAGTAGCAGTAGTAGCAGTAGTAGCAGTAGTAGCAGTAGTAGCAGTAGTAGCAGTAGTAGCAGTAGTAGCAGTAGTAGCAGTAGTAGCAGTAGTAGCAGTAGCAGTAGCAGCAATAGTCATAGTAATAGTAATAGTAGTAGTAATAGCAATAGCAATAGCAATATTGCCCTAGCAATGGCAATAGCAATATTGCTATAGCAATAGCAATATTGCTACAGCAATAACTATAGCAATGGTAATAGTACTAGTAATGGTAATTGTAATAGCAATAGTAATATTACTAATACTAGTACGACTGGTAGTGTTGCGACTTGAATCCTATTCCTAGTAGTAGGGGAACACGAAAGGCAACAAATGGAAAAACACTACCGAACCAAATGGAAAAAACTACCGATTAATTTGGCGACCGGTTCTCTGGGTCTCTGAGAGGAAGCCTCGAATAAGGCTGCTTTTGTCCGGAGGTCGGTTTTCGTTGATGCTGAGATGACAGGAGGGAGATGGAGAAGGCCATAGGGTTTGGTGCCTTGTTGCCGAGGATCAACTGCCGGGCAGCTGGTCGTCGACGTTCTTCCGCGTCTACTTCAAAAGTCGACGCCTCGGAATCGGGCGCACGTATTCAGAGGCAATGCCACATCGGACATCGACTTCGCAGCCAGAGACTACTTCGCTCAACCCCGAAAGACCACTGGGTGGGTTGATAGGCCAGTCAGGTGTATCCTAGGACCTCCTGCCAGCCCAGGTGATGCCAAGATTGGTTTGCACAACCCGAAAGACAACAAGTGGATCCGGCTGAGAGACAACAGTGACCGGCGTGGTAAAAGCCTTTTGAGTGAGTGGGCGTCGTGATACTTTTCCTGGTGGTGCAATACTGGCCCTGCAAGCACCGTGTAGATTCGACGTGTCGCTGTGCTCGTCTGTGCTTCGCTCTGGAACTTCATTTGCACCTGTGGAATTGCAATGCTCCGCAGGACATGGATGGCGCGCCGCACTTCGGAAGCTGGGAGACCTTCACCGCAGTCGATGCGGGCTCCGGGCAGGCGGGCCCTCGTGGGATCTTGTGGCGGATAGCTGGCGGATAGAATGCTAGATCGGTCGGCCGAACAGCAGGCCGTCAGCAACATGCCACAAGTATGGATGGATGGCTCCCTAGAGTCAAACACGTAAAGCTGAGCTTGGATTGGCGGGCTATGCGCTCTGGAACGCGACCTTTCTCTCTATTTGTTCAGACGACTTGGCGAAGCCACCCTAGCGAAACTCATCAGAAGCAGCACAACCTCTCGCGACCCTTACAAGAACACGACCCTATAACATCACCGCATGGTCCACGAATACTCCTCAGTACCGTGTTTGGACGATGAGGGCCTCTAATCTCTCCGTGTCCTTTTGTCCGGCAGCAAGGAAGGCCCCACATGTTGCAGAGGTTTCGGTGGCAAGGAATCCACACACGGAGAATTACGGTGCTCTATTGACATTAGGAGACGAATGTGACGATCCTGGTCTGTGGCTTCTCCTTGGAGTAGTTGTTATACGCCAAGAAGTTGCAATGTCACTCGACTGTACGCACGTCTGCAAATCTGCAAACTGAACACGCGGGAGTCCTGCTTGCAAAGCTGGCGAAGATGCCTCTTTCCGTAACAGAGCAAATGTTCAGACTTGGAGGCACTAGCCGCAGTAGCTTTCTTAGCTGCGTCCATAGGTGGGTTAGCGGTTCACAAATAAGCAAAACCCCCTTTGGCTGGGGACTCCATCGATGCACTCCCGGTAAGGGGTCTACAAGAGAGCGCAACACCGCAGTGAAATGGCGATCCACTGAACATGTCGGCTTTAGTGTCAACGGCTCTGACTTCAACATCTGTGGCTGTGTCGGGCTACAGCAACTCAACAAGACTCTGAAAATCAGCATACATGCAGCATCTTTGAGAAGCTTGTTAGCGTCCACAAGGATGCAGGTGCAAGAGATCCATCGTGCCATAGGTCACTCCGCCCAACGAGAAATGCTGCTTTCCCGAACCTAGGATGACAGGTGTTGCGCCCGCTTGCAACCGTTCCAGCTTTAGCCGCACCGCAGACAGGTGCATGACAAAGCAGCATAGTGTGCAATCGCAGAAAGCTCCAACGTCCTAATGCGCGCAGGTGGCCCTCCACTGTGCTGCCCACAACAAGTACATGCGCATGCCGGATCGCCATGCCTTGGCGGCTTGGTGGCACCGTCAGGGCTTCTGCCTGCCCTGGGCCTGAGACACTCGAAGAAGCCAAGGACACCAGCTCTCATCGCAACGCCTGGGACCGTGGGGGCGAGGGCTGGTCGGGGCTGGTTGCGTAGAGCCCATGCCACACTCCAAAATGAAAAAAAAGATTGCTCGCTGGATGCCAGGACCTGCCGAATGGCTGGACTTGGGAGAAATTCCGGCCAGTATCGGTGCCCTAAGCTGCAGCTCTGCCAAAGCTCCAGTCGTCGACTTCAGCTTCAGCTCAGGCTTTGCTGCGGCCCGGCACCACCGTGGCGCTGTGGCAACTCGCCCAGCTTCGGAGAACGTATGAGTCTGTATGAGCATGTCTGACATGATATGACATGATGTCACCTAACCTCAGAGAGCTTTGTGCCTGGTGGCCTGATGTGCCCAGGAACGATATCCACAAACGCTACCTGCGCATGAATGGGCACCACGACAAAATGGATGGATCTCCGAAGCCGCTTGTCTCCTTTACTACATTCTTTTACAAGTTGCATGTATTTGCGGTTTACGTCCAGGTGGCCCTCGAGATTTGTCATTTTCTCTTTCAGGTTGGGCAAAATGGCAGACATGCCAGCCCGTTGGGACTGGGAGCTGTTCCGGGCCGGTGCCTGAGGAAGCCTTGGCGCTGGATGCTTTTGCTGCGCCGGCATCGCATGCGACAATTTAGCGGCACAGGTGGTGGATGCCGGCTATGGCCAGGTGGCCTTGCACAACCACGTCAGCAATCGCTTCATGAAGATGGGTGGCCACGAGCCTTGGGCTAGCAGTCTTTGCGAGCTTGCCTTCAAAAGCTTCAGATGTCGAGGCCCAAGTTCAGTGAATGAAAGAAGACACGGCAAAATCATTCGCCAAATGCGGGAACGCTTGTGGTGTTCCGCCATCTAGATTGTTTGAGGAGCCTCCCTGTCTCGGGCTATCACTAGTGACTGCCAGTACAGGTTCGATGACACATGACAGATGCCTCGTGCAACCGTGCCCCCTTTTGCTTTCACGAATGCGGTTGCTTCTGCCCGGTTCTTCCGCTTTCGCATCTTGGCACCTCGGAGAATGCCATCGTGGTGCAGGGTATGTGTAGCTTCGCGCTGAAAGGGTCTTCAGTACTGCGCTGCCTTTGCTTCATCAACAGATCTCGAACATGCTGTGCAGACAAGAATGATGGATTGCATGCGAGACAGCCGGGGACAGCCTGCATGGATCCGTGGCTTGCAAGGACATGATTCGCTCGCCGCAGAAGAACTGGGACCAGCTGCCTCCGAGCTGATTTAGAAGTTTCGAGGGAAACCGTTCCCAACCAACTGCCTTAGTTCCATGTAAACTGTCTGAACTCCACAGGCGGAGCCAAGCTTGCTCTCGTCCTTCTCCAAGCCGAACCGAGGCCCGTGGGCTGGGGCTCGGAGAAGTTCACCGTGGTGGACGCAGGCGCGCGGGTACAGCCACAACAGCAGAAGCCCGTCCGCTGCCCTGCAGCCCTGCAGCCGCGCAGGTGGCGGCAAGGTGGCCCTGCACCACGCCGAGCACAACCGCTCTTTGGACGCAGGTTGACATCTGCCGGAGTTTCGGGGGATGCCTTTTGCCATCCTCGGGCGAGGTGATAAGAGGTTCCATCCGGCCATGGAATCGCCGGAGCTTTGCGGTATAGAATTCCGAAGGCAAGCCAACTTCGAAAGCTTCCAATGCTGCGAAGCCTTTCTTCCCCAGAAACCCGTACTTTCCTGTCGGACCATGAACCCGTTCTGCACCCTTTGACATAACTCACATCGCATGTGACAAGTTCCGAGGCTTCGTGTCCATGTGCACCCACGGCGATGGGTGCATCAGTCCTCACAAGGTGCAGCAAGGGTCACCGCAGCCGGCGATGCAACTCCCAACTCAAGTGATCGGCTGCCTTTTATGGAACGAAGACTTGTTCCGTCGATGTAGGCTCCGGATCACCTGCCCGGTGGATGGACGTGGCCCGCGCCCCATCTCCGCATGACTCTGGTCTCAGAGTCGGGCTAGTCTGTTTTTCCTAGTAGCTTTTCGAGAGTCGCGCCTCATTTACATTCGCATCGTCTTCTTTTCCCATCACCTTGTGCCTCAGCTGCCGCATGTACAAGAAGACGGACCGCTAGCCAACCCCGTTTCGTTCATCATGCCCCGCACGGGCACTCTGTACCTGCATCCAGACGGGGATTATGCTCTTTCCTCACCCCCCTATCCCGCATGACAAAACATTCGGGTGGGCTTGAAGCCGGGGGTCCTAACCGACCCCTATGCCCGGGAGAGAGAGAGAGAGAGAGAGAGAGAGAGAGAGAGAGAGGCGGGGGTTGTTTTCGCGTTTAGCGTTCGGGGGGGCTTTTTACTTGTAAACCTGGGGCATACTTTGTAGTTCTATGCCGTGTCCAGGATTGACCCCAATGCCAACCACTCACTAGTACAGAGTGAGGGTTGGGCGGGCCTAAGGCCTGAGGGTCTCGCGGGACCCCTAAGCCCAGCAGAAAGAAAGAAAGAGAGAGAGAGAGCTCTAGCCGATGTCCAAGCCTACACTCGTTCGTCACGCCTCCTGCCCCGATAATACATCGGGTGGGCTTGAAGCCCGGGGGCCTTGACCGGCCCTCAAGCCCAGGAGAGAGAGAGGGTCAAACCCCTACACCCTAGCCCTGGCGAAAGAAAGAAAGAGAGAGAGCGAGCCAGCCCGTCTACGGGGGAGAGAGACAGATACCGGCGAGAACAGATTACAGACACGTAAGTGGGAGCGGCGAGACCCGGTTTCAGGCAGCAGTACCATGTGCTCGAGGCCCGACCTGGCGGTGAAGTTTAGGGTTCATCGCGAAAATCTGATCTGACTTGGTTTTGCTCGCAGATCAAGCCTTGCACCACCGGCGGCGGCGGCCACTGCAAAACTTGCCAAGGGCCAGCGCACCGACAGGTTTGGGGCCCGGGAAGACTGGCTGTAGACGTGTTTGGCCTGTGTTCCGAGCGAAGGGGCAAGCTGCCGTCACACCGAGGTCAACCACCACTGCGCCACCTGCAACGCCGGCTACTACAGGCACGGTCACCACTGCAAGGCGCGTGGCCGGTTGAAAGGGAGACGCGCATGCGAAGCTCGCCCTGTTACGTGGCAGGCCTACAGCTGCACGACCGGACGGTATCGCCTCTGCGGCTCCTGCGTGGCACAGCACCAGCGCACGGTGCGCCGTCAGGGATGCTTAGGTTTTCGGGACCGCTTCGGGAGTTGCACCGGCAATCAGGTCGAAGCTTTGTCAAATCTCCGAACCCCCGAAACAAACATTTGAGTGCCTAAACGCCCGACTGCTGCGACACATGCACTTGGGAGCACTGCATTTCACTGCCCTGTCTGCCGCAGCAAAACGACCACTGTGCAAGCTGCAACGGTGGCCACGTTCTCCGTGGAAAGCGCTGCCAGGCAGGGCATTTGCATTAGACGGGACGTGTTTGGAGATGGACCCCAATAGCAACGCGACGTCTAGTCTGCGGAGACTTGTTCCCTGCCAGTCCCGGCTGTTGGGTGCGACGGTGGCCTTGCATAACCCGCACCACAATCGCTTTGTGGAGATGCCGCTCGGGAGTGTGAGCTTTTCGTGCTGACTCTTGCCGTGTCGCTTTCCTGTTTTCAGAGCGCATACTTCATGGCGCAGCCCACCTAGCACCAGTCCGTATCTGAAATGGCTGCAGCAACCAAGGAAACACTCCAACTTGGTCCGGACTGGAGGGAAGAGGGCCGAACCTCGGTGCTGCAGAACTTTCACCTTTGGCAGTGTGGTGCAAGAAGGTCTCGAGATTCCCCGTCTCTGGGTTCTCTGGGTCTCTGAGAGGAAGCCTCGAATAAGGCTGCTTTTGTAATGAGGTCATATGAGGTCGGTTTTCGTTGATGCTGAGATGACAAGAGGGAGATGGAGAAGGCCATAGGGTTTGGTGCCTTGTTGCTGAGGATCAACTGCCGGGCAGCTGGTCGTCGACGTTCTTCCGCGTCTACTTCAAAAGTCGACGCCTCGGAATCGGGCGCGCGTATTCAGAGGCAATGCCACGTCGGACATCGACTTTGCAGCCAGAACTACTTCGCTCAACCCCGAAAGACCACTGGGTGGGTTGATAGGCGAGTCAGGTGTATCCTAGGACCTCCTGCCAGCCCAGGTGATGCCAAGATTGGTTTGCACAACCCGAAAGACAACAAATGGATCCGGCTGAGAGACAATAGTGACCGGCGTGGTAAAAGCCTTTTGAGTGAGTGGGCGTCAGCCTGTGATACTATTCCTGGTGGTGCAATGCTGGTCCTGCAAGCATCGTGTAGATTCGACGCGTGGCTGTGCTCGTCTGTGCTTCGCTCTGGAACTTCATTTGCACCTGTGGGATTGCAATGCTCCGCAGGACATGGATGGCGCGCCGCACTTCGGAAGCTGGGAGACCTTCACCGCGGTCGATGCGGGCTCCGGGCAGGCGGGCCCTCGTGGGATCTTGTGGCGGATAGCTGGCGGATAGAATGCTAGATCGGTCGGCCGAACAGCAGGCCGTCAGCAACATGACACAAGTATGGATGGATGGCTCCCTAGAGTCAAACACGTAAAGCTGAGCTTGGATTGGCGGGCTATGCACTCTGGAAACGCGAACTTTCTCTCTATTTGTTCAGACGACTTGGCGAAGCCACCCTAGCGAAACTCATCAGAAGCAGCACAACCTCTCGCGACCCTTACAAGAACACGACCCTATAACATCACCGCATGGTCCACGAATACTCCTCAGTACCGTGTTTGGACGATGAGGGCCTCTAATCTCTCCGTGTCCTTTTGTCCGGCAGCAAGGAAGGCCCCACATGTTGCAGAGGTTTCGGTGGCAAGGAATCCACACACGGAGAATTACGGTGCTCTATTGACATTAGGAGACGAATGTGACGATCCTGGTCTGTGGCTTCTCCTTGACTGTACGCACGTCTGCAAATCTGCAAACTGAACACGCGGGAGTCCTGCTTGCAAAGCTGGCGAAGATGCCTCTTTCCGTAACAGAGCAAATGTTCAGACTTGGAGGCACTAGCCGCAGTAGCTTTCTCAGCTGCGTCCATTGGTAGGTTAGCGGTTCACAAATAAAAAACCACCTTTGGCTGGGGATTCCATCGATGCACTCCCGGTAAGGGGTCTACAAGCGAGCGCAACACCGCAGTGAAATGGCGATCCACTGAACATGTCGGCGTTAGTGTCAACGGCTCTGACTTCAACATCTGTGGCTGTGTCGGGCTGCAGCAACTCAACAAGACTCTGAAGATCAGCATACATGCAGCATCTTTGAGAAGCTTGTTAGCGTCCACAAGGATGCAGGTGCAAGAGATCCATCGTGCCAAAGGTCACTCCGCCCAACGAGAAATGCTGCTTTCCCGAACCTAGGATGACAGGTGTTGCGCCCGCTTGCAACCGTTCCAGCTTTAGCCGCACCGCAGACAGGTGCATGACAAAGCAGCATAGTGTGCAATCGCAGAAAGCTCCAACGTCCTAATGCCCGCAGGTGGCCCTCCACTGTGCTGCCCACAACAAGTACATGCGCATGCCGGATCGCCATGCCTTGGCGGCTTGGTGGCACCGTCAGGGCTTCTGCCTGCCCTGGGCCTGAGACACTCGAAGAAGCCAAGGACACCAGCTCTCATCGCAACGCCTGGGACCGCGGGGGCGAGGGCTGGTCGGGGCTGGTTGCGTAGAGCCCATGCCACACTCCAAAATGAAAAAAAAGATTGCTCGCTGGATGCCAGGACCTGCCGAATGGCTGGACTTGGGAGAAATTCCGGCCAGTATCGGTGCCCTAAGCTGCAGCTCTGCCACAGCTCCAGTCGTCGACTTCAGCTTCAGCTCAGGCTTTGCTGCGGCCCGGCACCACCGTGGCGCTGTGGCAACTCGCCCAGCTTCGGAGAACGTATGAGTCTGTATGAGCATGTCTGACATGATATGACATGATGTCACCTAACCTCAGAGAGCTTTCTGCCTGGTGGGCTGATGTGCCCAGGAACGATATCCACAAACGCTACCTGCGCATGAATGGGCACCACGACAAAATGGATGGATCTCCGAAGCCGCTTGTCTCCTTTACTACATTCTTTCACAAGTTGCATGTATTTGCGGTTTACGTCCAGGTGGCCCTAGAGAGTTGTCATTTTCTCTTTCAGGTTGGGCAAAATGGCAGACATGCCAGCCCGTTGGGACTGGGAGCTGTTCCGGGCCGGTGCCTGAGGAAGCCTTGGCGCTGGATGCTTTTGCTGCGCCGGCATCGCATGCGACAATGTAGCGGCACAGGTGGTGGATGCCGGCTATGGCCAGGTGGCCTTGCACAACCACGTCAGCAATCGCTTCATGAAGATGGGTGGCCACGAGCCTTGGGCTAGCAGTCTTTGCGAGCTTGCCTTCAGAAGCTTCAGATGTCGAGGCCCAAGTTCAATGAATGTTAGAAGACACGGCAAAATCATTCGCCAAATGCGGCAACGCTTGTGGTGTTCCGCCATCTAGATTGTTTGAGGAGCCTCCCTGTCTCGGGCTATCACTAGTGACTGCCAGTACAGGTTCGATGACACATGACAGATGCCTCGCGCAACCGTGCCCCCTTTTGCTTTCACGAATGCGGTTGCTTCTGCCCGGTTCTTCCGCTTTCGCATCTTGGCACCTCGGAGAATGCCATCGTGGTGCAGGGTATGTGTAGCTTCGCGCTGAAAGGGTCTTCAGTACTGCGCTGCCTTTGCTTCATCAACAGATCTCGAACATGCTGTGCAGACAAGAATGATGGATTGCATGCGAGACAGCCGGGGACAGCCTGCATGGATCCGTGGCTTGCAAGGACATGATTCGCTCGCCGCAGAAGAACTGGGACCAGCTGCCTCCGAGCTGATTTAGAAGTTTCGAGGGAAACCGTTCCCAACCAACTGCCTTAGTTCCATGTAAACTGTCTGAACTCCACAGGCGGAGCCAAGCTTGCTCTCGTCCTTCTCCAAGCCGCACCGAGGCCCGTGGGCTGGGGCTCGGAGAAGTTCACCGTGGTGGACGCAGGCGCGTGGGTACAGCCACAACAGCAGAAGCCCGTCCGCTGCCCTGCAGCCCTGCAGCCGCGCAGGTGGCGGCAAGGTGGCCCTGCACCACGCCGAGCACAACCGCTCTTTGGACGCAGGTTGACATCTGCCGGAGTTTCGGGGGATGCCTTTTGCCATCCTCGGGCGAGGTGATAAGAGGTTCCATCCGGCCATGGAATCGCCGGAGCTTTGCGGTATAGAATTCCGAAGGCAAGCCAACTTCGAAAGCTTCCAATGCTGCGAAGCCTTTCTTCCCCAGAAACCCGTACTTTCCTGTCGGACCATGAACCCGTTCTGCACCCTTTGACATAACTCACATCGCATGTGACAAGTTCCGAGGCTTCGTGTCCATGTGCACCCACGGCGATGGGTGCATCAGTCCTCACAAGGTGCAGCAAGGGTCACCGCAGCCGGCGATGCAACTCCCAACTCAAGTGATCGGCTGCCTTTTATGGAACGAAGACTTGTTCCGTCGATGCAGGCTCCGGATCACCTGCCCGGTGGATGGACGTGGCCCGCGCCCCATCTCCGCATGACTCTGGTCTCAGAGTCGGGCTAGTCTGTTTTTCCTAGTAGCTTTTCGAGAGCCGCGCCTCATTTACATTCGCATCGTCTTCTTTTCCCATCACCTTGTGCCTCAGCTGCCGCATGTACAAGAAGACGGACCGCTAGCCAACCCCGTTTCGTTCATCATGCCCCGCACGGGCACTCTGTACCTGCATCTGCATGCAGCGTGGATGCGTTGCGCACAATTGGTTGGTGAAGGATCTCACTTTCTCTCTTCTCATCTCTTGTTTACTGTAAATATAGGTGCCTTCAGTGCTGTTGGAACCTATTTCTCTCGAGAGCATACATCCCACCTGAGTCGTCATATTGCTTATCCATCCATGGCTTTAGCTTGCAGGGGGATTATGCTCTTTCCTCACCCCCTATATCCCGCATAGCACAACATGCGGGTGGGCTTGAAGCCGGGGGTCCTAACCGACCCCTATGCCCGCGAGAGAGAGAGAGAGAGAGAGAGAGAGAGATCCCGCGAAACGCCGGTGTGCAGTGCGCACGGGGGGAGGGCCCTGGACGCTGGCCCGAACCCCAATCCCGGTAGAGAGAGAGAGAGAGAGAGAGAGAGAGCGAGATAGCGAGCCAGCCCGTCTACTGTAGGGGGAGAGAGACAGATACCGGCGAGAACAGATTACAGACACGTAAGTGGGAGCGGCGAGACCCGGTTTCAGGCAGCAGTACCATGTGCTCGAGGCCCGACCTGGCGGTGAAGTTTAGGGTTCATCGCGAAAATCTGCTCTGACTTGGTTTTGCTCGCAGATCAAGCCTTGCACCACCGGCGGCGGCGGCCACTGCAAAACTTGCCAAGGGCCAGCGCACCGACAGGTTTGGGGCCCGGGAAGACTGGCTGTAGACGTGTTTGGCCTGTGTTCCGAGCGAAGGGGCAAGCTGCCGTCACACCGAGGTCAACCACCACTGCGCCACCTGCAACGCCGGCTACTACAGGCACGGTCACCACTGCAAGGCGCGTGGCCGGTTGAAAGGGAGACGCGCATGCGAAGCTCGCCCTGTTACGTGGCAGGCCTACAGCTGCACGACCGGACGGTATCGCCTCTGCGGCTCCTGCGTGGCACAGCACCAGCGCACGGTGCGCCGTCAGGGATGCTTAGGTCCTGGGTTTTCGGTTGCGTAAGTCCGCATGTCGAAGGCCCAACCTGCCATGCTCGCACTTCTTAGCGTCTCGAATCTCCTCCATTTTAAGTCCCCCAGAAGAGGATTCCATCCGAAACTTCGGGGTCTCATTTCCTGAATGCATGACTTTCTCCACAACACACCGCCCTGTCTGCCGCAGCAAAACGACCACTGTGCAAGCTGCGACGGTGGCCACGTCCTCCGTGGAAAGCGCTGCCAGGCAGGAAATGTAAATGATGTGTTGCGATGTAGACTGCGAGAGTACCACTCTTCGACCGACTGTTTCCGACTTGTTCTCTGCCAGTCCCGGCTGTTGGGCGCGACGGTGGCCTTCCACAACCCAACTTTCAACCGTTTTGTGGAAATGCCCCTTGGAAGTGTGTCGTGCTTTTCGCGCTGCCTCTGGCGGTTCCGCTTTTCATTCACGACGCGATACTTCAGGGTGCAGCCATGCGCAGCCCGCCTGGTACCAGGCCGAATCTGACATGGCTGCAGCAACCAAGGGCACACTCGAATGTGGTCCGGACTTCAGCGAAGAAGGCCGCACCTCGGTGCTGCAGAACTTTCACCGTGGGTGTGGTGTGCAAGGGTCTTCAGCATTCCAGGCTCTTGAAGGTCTCTGGGAGGAAGCTTCGAGGCTTTTGTCTTCAGGGTCGGTCTTTGTTGATGCTGAGATGGCAAGAAGGCCATGGAGGGAAATGGGTTTGTTGCCTTGCCGAGGACCAGCTGCCCAGCAATTGGCAGTCCACTTTCTTCCGTGTCCAATTCAAAAGTGGGCGCCTCGGGATCAGGTCTTCGGGCACACGCATAAAGAGGCAAAGCCACATTGGACAAGACGTGCACCTGCTGCGGGAAGGAGTCGGATCACAGGGTTCATCAGGGTTCGGTGAGGTGAGACATGTGAGGCTGACAGAACTCATGCCTGGCATTTTCGAGTCTGGCTTCGGTCAGGGGTAGGTTTCGCCATACTCGTAGCTATCCTGGTGGTCAGCGCCAGCGCTACATAGCTCAACCCGGAAACCTTGCATGCCAAGTCCCGTGCTTCCAGTGATCCAGGTGATGGCAAGATCGGCTTGTACAACGCGAAAGACAACAAATGGATCCGGCTGAGAGACAACAGTGACCGGCTTGTTTCAAGCCCTGTGAGTGACGAGGGTGTCAGCAGGCGCTTGTATTCCTGTTGTAGATTCAGCCAGTCGCTGCGTTCGTCTGCGTGTCGCAAGAGTCGACGCTCTCTAATGTTAGAGTTCGCAGGACATGGATGGCGCGCCGCACTTCGGAGGCTGGGAGACCTTCACCGCGGTCGATGCGGGCTCCGGGCAGGCCGGCTTTCCCGACCTGGCCATGCCCTTGCCCTTGCCTCCAGACCAGGGCACCTAGGCGCTAGACACTCAGCAGGCTCGGACGAGGCGCCACTAGCAGAGCTTCAATCATGGCAGCTTCGCATTTGCACTTACACTAGCAGCCTATTTTTCGTCTTGGGGTTTGATTGTGCTTCAAGCTACAGGGATCTCTGTCTGTTCGGGAGGGAGGACGAATGCATGACTTTTGCCCTCCGGTGTACGGCATGCATAAGCTATGGCCCAAGAGTCAGGCTGCCTGGAAAGTTTCGACTGCCAAGGGGATGGTGTGTCGCGCCGACCAGTGGCACACGGCAAATGTATTTGGGACCATTGATTTGGTTCTTGCAAGTTCGTCGCCTGCTTGAGCAAACCAACGTACCTCTGAAGCTTTCAACGCCATGCCTTTTCGCTAGCACGAAAAGCAAAATTACAAAACTCTGTTCAGACTCCGTTCTGTGAGACCTGCAGCTGTTTTCTCGCCAAGTGGCTAGTACAGAAGGCTTACTTTACTACTGTTGTTGAGCGCGTTGGCTATGTATGCCGCTCCACCTGCAGGTGGCTCTCCACTGTGCTGCCCACAACAAGTACATGCGCATGCCGGACCGCCATGCCTTGGTGGCTTGGTGGCACCGTCAGGGCTTCTGCCTGCCCTGGGCCTGAGACACTCGAAGAAGCCAAGGACACCAGCTCTCATCGCAACGCCTGGGACCGCGGGGGCGAGGGCTGGTCGGGGCTGGTTGCGTAGAGCCCATGCCACACTCCAAAATGAAAAAAAAGATTGCTCGCTGGATGCCAGGACCTGCCGAATGGCTGGACTTGGGAACGCTTCCGGCCCGTCGCGGTGCCGCAGCTGCAGCTGTGCGGCAGCTCCAGGGCTCGGTTACACTTCGGCTCTAGCTCAGGCTTTGCTGCGGCCCGGCACCACCGTGGCGCTGTGGCAACTCGCCCAGCTTCGGAGAACGTATGAGTCTGCATGATGAGCATGTCTGACATGATATGACATGATGTCACCTAACCTCAGAGAGCTTTCTGCCTGGTGGGCTGATGTGCCCAGGAACGATATCCACAAACGCTACCTGCGCATGAATGGGCACCACGACAAAATGGATGGATCTCCGAAGCCGCTTGTCTCCTTTACTACATTCTTTCACAAGTTGCATGTATTTGCGGTTTACGTCCAGGTGGCCCTAGAGATTTGTCATTTTCTCTTTCAGGTTGGGCAAAATGGCAGACATGCCAGCCCGTTGGGACTGGGAGCTGTTCCGGGCCGGAGCCTGAGGAAGCCTTGGCGCTGGATGCTTTTGCTGCGCCGGCATCGCATGCGACAATTTAGCGGCACAGGTGGTGGATGCCGGCTATGGCCAGGTGGCCTTGCACAACCACGTCAGCAATCGCTTCATGAAGATGGGTGGCCACGAGCCTTCGGCCTGCGGCAGAAAAGGTATCAGAATGTCTTCTCGGGTCACTGCAGTGAATAGACTGGTTTGGTGAGGCTGCCTGGAAAGATTTCCAAGACTTTAGAGCCGGGCATGGTTTCCGGGTGTCAAACGCTAGGGGCGTGAATGCTCGCGGCTTGTAGGTTCAACATTCAGCAGCTCAACAGTGACACGAAGTAACAAGCTCCACAATGCCAGGGCCCGGTACCCCTCAATCACAGTCTTGCAGTCTTCTCTGTGTCTCTCGATTGCTTGAGTGGGCTCCTCTCGTGTCTTGCTTGCCTCGCGACTGCCGCCCGCGTGACCTAAGCCCCAAGGACATGATTCGCTCGCCGACGAAGAACTGGAACGAGCTGCCCCCGGGCTGATTTAGAGTCGTAGAGCTTCCGGGAAAGCGGTTTCGGCCCAAGTTACTTCCAGCTTGGCAGAGGGGGGCGGACGGAAGTTTGAAATCTCCACACCAGGCCTCCGAACTGGGGCGCAGAGAAATTCACCGTGGTGGATGCAGGCCAGCGTGAAGCTAAAGCCTTGCATGTCCCGTGGCCTACTCAAAGATGTCTCGCTGTCCGGCAGGAGGTGGCAAGGTGGCCCTGCACCACGCGGACCACAACCGCCTCCTGGACGCAGGTTGACCCGTGGCGGAGGACCTCTAGCGGTTTCGGTAACCAGAGCACTCTTTAACTATAAACGGAAGCTAGCCGTCCAAACCTGCCCAGCTTCTGTATTGGGCTAGTGCTGTTGCGGGTGTGGGGGGACCAGTGTGGCTTCAGCCTTTTCCCAGCGATCCTTCTGAGAAACCCGGCCAGCCCGCATAGCCTGGCTCACATCACAATGTGACAAGTTCTGAGGCTTCGTATCCATGTGCACCGACGGCGATGGGTGCATCAGTCCTCATAAGGTGCATCAAGGGTCGCTGAAGCTGGCGATGCAACTCACAACTTGTCGAGAGACTTGCTGCCTTCATGGAAGGAAGACTTGTTGTGTCGAGGCTCCAGATCACTTGCCCGGTGGATGGACATGGCCCGTACCCCAGGGCACGTGTGGACGGACGGACGGAGGGAGGGAGAGAGAGAGGGAAGAAGAGAGAGACGGGTAAGCGGGAAGAAGAGGGTTACTTCGGGTGCAGACGTGCGCTGGGGCAGCCTGGGGGTTGTGCCAAGCAGTGCTTGAGACCACACAGCCGCTGGCGCTCGCAGCTCAGAAGCGGAGGAAGGGGAGGAGAGTGGGTTTCTCTTTGCACGTCTACCATTTCCGGGTTCTTGTCCAGCCCGCATCTTCATCTCGAGCCAATCCTCACGACCTGTAAGCTGTCTGGAAGTGCCATGATCTCTACAAAGCTGGGAGACTTCTCTGAAACAGACCTGCCATGACCTGCCACATGGAGTCACTGACAAGCGCTGATACCGCCCATCTGCGCTGAACTATGACTGCAACTGCCCGTCGCCTCTTTTGCCGAGCACGACCCGCCGTGACCTCACTAATCACATCTTTCGACGTGAAGCTGCTTTCGGAAAGTAGGCACAAGGTGCCGCCGAAGGTGGTGTTGAAACCGGACATGTGAGTATAGACTGGAATAAAGGTAGTTTCGGGGAGTTGCGATGTGAAAGGCCTTGGTGACAGAATTCGTTTTGACAGCATGGCTGCTCAGCCGGCCTTGGCACTGCGTGCCATTTTTTCATCGGGTAACTACAGTGTTTTTTGGTACAGACTCTCAGTCTCATTGTGACAAAAGAGGACCTCGACTCATGCGACTAGTGCAGTCGCCGTGCTCGAGTCCTCTTTGCTTTCTTTCACCCGCCCTCCTCACCCTTTGCTTTGGGCATGATAGCTCAGCTCCCGACGCCGACGGGTTGGTCAGACGGCTGTCTCAGCTTCGTTCTTCGGCATCGTTTGGTTCTGAGCTTGATCTGCATTTCGAAGAAAAGAATCGCTCTGATTCTGAGCCGAGAGAGTGCTCGAGTGTACGTTTGTCACGTCTCTGCGTTTGTGGAAATCCGCATACTGTCCAGAGGCTTTGAATTCCATTCGTGCCGATGTTTATGCGCACGTCAACGTCTTTTCCACTCAGCTTCCTTCTGTAACTCTGCTAGATGCAGCAGCGGGGATCTGCAAGGGACCTCATCTCCCCAGCCAAATCCAGACTCTTTTCGCCGATGCCCTGCAAGATGGCACCGGTGACGGTTTTGATTGCGTGGGACCAGCGGCTTCCAGAGCCAGAGCTGCAGGTCCGCGCATCGTTCCAAGATTCCTTACTTCTCCTGTACCCGTGGTCCCATGGTCTAAGTTTTGCTGACGCAATAGTGTTGTGGTGTTGTTCGCTCGGTCGGCTGAAGCTTCGCAGAGCTGGTTAGTGCAGGTAGAATGCAAGTGCCACAGGGGTGAGCCAGGGCTCAACTCGAGTCCTCGTGTGCCGTGCAGTTTTGAATATTTTCTGGCTAGTGCCGAACAGAGCGGCGCGAGGCTCACTACACTAGCATACCGCCTGATGGGGCGAATTGGGGATGTGCATCATACGGGTGCAGCTGTGGCACATGCGATGTCTTCGGAACGTCAGGGCGACAGTTGCCATCATCGGGAACCCTATGAATCCGCACAACCTGGTGGACAATCTTCGTTTCCTTTCAATTCATGTCGCGCTTTCCATGAGAGCCCTATTCAGCTGAATTCGGGGGAATGAGGCCCAGTTCGTTCAAACATCTTGAGGAATATCGCGCCAACCCCATACGGCCACATTTCTGCAACAGGGCCGGCTTTTGCCTTTTGCCTCGAACCCGTGCTTCCTGACATACTCGGGGCATTTGATGGTTTGATCGTTCCCTTGGTTCCCTTCAGGGCCTCGAACCAACCGCAGGAAAGAACAAGCTTTTGTTATGAATCCCTCTCGGCCCATGGAGTTTCCTGGACTGGGGCTGGTTATTTTGGGGAGTGGGGCTCCAGAGGGCGGCATGAAATCGGTCCAACCGCCAACAAGCGCGCCTCCACACGGGGGAGAGAGAGAGCGAGAGAGAGAGAGAGAGAGAGACAGAGAGAGTGCGCTAGTGGCCGAGGGGTCTCGCACTCCCCTCATGCCCTGCAGAAGAAGAAGAAGGTGAGATTGCCCTAACCCTAGCAGAAGGAAGGAAGGAAGAGTTTGACAGAGAAACAGAGAGACGAAGCCACATGCAGTTCGAGTCTGGCATCGATACAAGAAGACAGAAATGCTCTTGCGCATTGCTGCGTTTTCCTGAGCGATCCCTTCACATCAAATCAAGAAGAGACGATGGGACTCCGCTTCAGGCAGCAGTACCATGTGCTCGAGGCCCGACCTGGCGGTGAAGTTTAGGGTTCGGCGGAATCGCGAACATCTGCTCTGACTTGGTTTTGCTCGCAGATCAAGCCTTGCACCACCGGCGGCGGCGGCCACTGCAAAACTTGCCAAGGGCCAGCGCACCGACAGGTTTGGAGCCCGGGAAGACTGGCTGTAGACGTGTTTGGCCTGTGTTCCGGAAGGACGGGCAGGCTGCCATCACACCGAGGTCAACCACCACTGCGCCACCTGCAACGCCGGCTACTACATGCACGGTCACCACTGCAAGGCGCGTGGCCGGTTGAAAGGGAGACGCACATGCGAAGCTCGCCCTGTTACGTGGCAGGCCTACAGCTGCACGACCGGACGGTATCGCCTCTGCGGCTCCTGCGTGGCACAGCACCAGCGCACGGTGCGCCGTCAGGGATGCTTAGGTTTTCGGGACCGCTTCGGGAGTTGCATAAACGCCCGACTGCTGCGACACATGCACTTGGGAGCACTGCATTTCACTGCCCTGTCCGCCGCAGCAAAACGACCACTGTGCAAGCTGCGACGGTGGCCACGTCCTCCGTGGAAAGCGCTGCCAGGCAGGAAATGATGTGTTGCGATGAGACTGCGAGGGTAACACTCTTCGACCGACTGTTTCCGACTTGTTCTCTGCCAGTCCCGGCTGTTGGGCGCGACGGTGGCCTTCCACAACCCAACTTTCAACCGTTTTGTGGAAATGCCCCTTGGAAGTGTGTCACGCTTTTCGCGCTGCCTCTGGCGGTTCCGCTTTTCATTCACGACGCGATACTTCAGGGTGCAGCCATACGCAGCCCGCCTGGCACCAGGCCGAATCTGACATGGCTGCAGCAACCAAGGGCGCACTCGAATGTGGTCCGGACTTCAGCGAGGAAGGCCGCACCTCGGTGCTGCAGAACTTTCACCGTGGGTGTGGTGTGCAAGGGTCTTCAGCATTCCAGGCTCTTGAAGGTCTCTGGGAGGAAGCTTCGAGGCTTTTGTCTTCAGGGTCGGTCTTTGTTGATGCTGAGATGGCAAGAAGGCCATGGAGGGAAATGGGTTTGTCGCCTTGCCGAGGACCAGCTGCCCAGCAATTGGCAGTCCACTTTCTTCCGTGTCCAATTCAAAAGTGGGCGCCTCGGGATCAGGTCTTCGGGCACACGCATAAAGAGGCAAAGCCACATTGGACAAGACGTGCACCTGCTGCCGGAAGGAGCCGGATCACAGGGTTCGGTGAGGTGAGACATGTGAGGCTGACAGAACTCATGCCTGGTATTCTCGAGTCTGGCTTCGGTCAGGGGCAGGTTTCGCCATACTCGTAGCTATCCTGGTGGTCAGCGCCAGCGCTACATAGCTCAACCCGGAAACCTTGCATGCCAAGTCCCGTGCTTCCAGTGATCCAGGTGATGGCAAGATCGGCTTGTACAACGCGAAAGACAACAAATGGATCCGGCTGAGAGACAACAGTGACCGGCTTGTTTCAAGCCCTGTGAGTGACGAGGGTGTCAGCAGGCGCTTGTATTCCTGTTGTAGATTCAGCCAGTCGCTGCGTTCGTCTTGCGTGTCGCAAGAGTCGACGCTCTCTAATGTTAGAGTTCGCAGGACATGGATGGCGCGCCGCACTTCGGAGGCTGGGAGACCTTCACCGCGGTCGATGCGGGCTCCGGGCAGGCCGGCTTTCCCGACCTGGCCATGCCCTTGCCCTTGCCTCCAGACCAGGGCACCTAGGCGCTAGACACTCAGCAGGCTCGGACGAGGCGCCACTAGCAGAGCTTCAATCATGGCAGCTTCGCATTTGCACTTACACTAGCAGCCTATTTTTCGTCTTGGGGTTTGATTGTGCTTCAAGCTACAGGGATCTCTGTCTGTTCGGGAGGGAGGACGAATGCATGACTTTTGCCCTCCGGTGTACGGCATGCATAAGCTATGGCCCAAGAGTCAGGCTGCCTGGAAAGTTTCGACTGCCAAGGGGATGGTGTGTCGCGCCGACCAGTGGCACACGGCAAATGTATTTGGGACCATTGATTTGGTTCTTGCAAGTTCGTCGCCTGCTTGAGCAAACCAACGTACCTCTGAAGCTTTCAACGCCATGCCTTTTCGCTAGCACGAAAAGCAAAATTACAAAACTCTGTTCAGACTCCGTTCTGTGAGACCTGCAGCTGTTTTCTCGCCAAGTGGCTAGTACAGAAGGCTTACTTTACTACTGTTGTTGAGCGCGTTGGCTATGTATGCCGCTCCACCTGCAGGTGGCTCTCCACTGTGCTGCCCACAACAAGTACATGCGCATGCCGGACCGCCATGCCTTGGTGGCTTGGTGGCACCGTCAGGGCTTCTGCCTGCCCTGGGCCTGAGACACTCGAAGAAGCCAAGGACACCAGCTCTCATCGCAACGCCTGGGACCGCGGGGGCGAGGGCTGGTCGGGGCTGGTTGCGTAGAGCCCATGCCACACTCCAAAATGAAAAAAAAGATTGCTCGCTGGATGCCAGGACCTGCCGAATGGCTGGACTTGGGAACGCTTCCGGCCCGTCGCGGTGCCGCAGCTGCAGCTGTGCGGCAGCTCCAGGGCTCGGTTACACTTCGGCTCTAGCTCAGGCTTTGCTGCGGCCCGGCACCACCGTGGCGCTGTGGCAACTCGCCCAGCTTCGGAGAACGTATGAGTCTGCATGATGAGCATGTCTGACATGATATGACATGATGTCACCTAACCGTCCTGATGTGCCCAGGAACGATATCCACAAACGCTACCTGCGCATGAATGGGCACCACGACAAAATGGATGGATCTCCGAAGCCGCTTGTCCCGGTTTGGGATTGGAACCGATGTCGTTCTCAGCACTTGCTCTGTCTCTGCATGGCCAGGTTGGGCAAACTGACAGATGTGCCCCGCGGATGGACTTGGGAGCTGTTCCGCGCCGGTGCCTGAGGAGGTGTTGAGGATGCTTCTCCCCTGCTCGTGTGACAACCCAGTTGCAAAGGTCGTGGATGCCGGCTATGGCCAGGTGGCCCTGCACAACCACGTCGTCAATCGTTTCATGAAAATGGATCACGAACCTTGGGCCTGCGAAAGCAAATCGTCCAGACTGCTGGGGTAAGGTTAGTTGAAGGGAGCGCCCGGCATGCATTTGGGGCGCTGAAGCATGTGTGGACTGCGCGTCCCTTCTCGTCCTGGGTCAAAGCTTGCTGCAATCCACGGGCATGTCTGCGACCTTCTGGTATAAAGACGCTTTCAAGGACATGATTCGCTCGCCGAAGAAAGACTGGAACAAGCTGCCCCCAAGCTGATTCATTGTAGAGCTTTCGGGAAGGCGGTTTCTCTGGGGAGATGTGCATTTTGAGATTCCTACACGAGGCCTTCGACCTGGGGCGCGGAGAAATTCACCGTGGTGGACGGAGGCCTGCATGTAGCTAAAGCCTTGCATGGCCCATCCCCCGCTGTCCTCCAGGTGGCACGGTGGCCCTGCACCACGCGGTGCACAACCGCTTTTTGGATGCAAGCAAAATCCAACTCCAAGCCGAGACTCAGGCTGCGTAGGCTTACAGAGTTTCTTGTCAGACTCAAGTCTCTAGCATCGAGGTTTCGTGTCCATGTGCAGCCACGGCGATGGGTGCATCAGCCCTCACAAGGTGCAAAGAAAGCTTCAGAAGCAGTTGAAGCTGTGAATTCCTACATCGTGAAAAAGGGCAGCATAGGTCTCTCTGTGTCGTTGGAGCATCGGGCCAGGCCCCGGATCATTTACCCACAGGATGGACGTGGCCGACTCCTCAGCAGGGGTTGCCTGTGTTGCCGTGTCTCTGACTGCCTACTTCTCTGGGTGAGCTTGTGTCTTTGCAAAGTCTTGTCCTCATGGAACAGACATCTGGTCTCCTGGGGCGTTTTGAATTCTCGCCGTCCTGTTTACTGCTCTGTCATGCTCACCCGCATTCTAGTTTCGACTCTTGTCGCTGCTTCTTCTTGTCTGAGACGCCGTCGTACTATTGTGATGCAATGAGTGGAGTGTGCAGGGGTTGTGGAATTAAGGAGGCAGAGGTGGCCCCAACACCGTTTATGCCGTTCCAAACTCCATGTCATGAGTCAACAAGCCCAAGCTGAAGCTATGTCATCGCAAAGCTTTTGATACACATCTGGACAACAACTCATAGATCTGCTAGCGGCTGGCTTGCTGCATATCTAACCAGCTATAGATTGACATTTGTGCATGTGCTCATGCATGTACACGTAGTTGCATGCGAGACAGGTGCTGACATCTGTCCTGAAGACACTACAGAAGCCGGCAAGGAAAATGACACAGATGCAAACTGCAAAGACACCGGCCACAGAAGCCGTGGAAGTGGAACAGGTGCGAGGAAGGCCAAAGGAGAAGGAAAATGCAGGTGAGACAAAAGCATGTCACAGTCAAAGTTGGTAAACCGTATCCATTTTGCTGCAGGCAGAGGTTCCACGTGGTTGAGGCCTGCGGTATGAGTTGCATGGAAGCTCCGCAGCACCCAAGCCGAGCCCAGAGCTTGACCAAGAAAGGTGCTTGTAAAGGGAGACATCGCCCGCTGAAAGACTTGCCATTCCTTGTCAGATCAAGCCATGCCACACCGGCAGCGGCACCAAATGCAAGACCTGTGAAGATCCGTTTCACCGCGAGGCGGGGGGAGTGGAGGGTATGAACACTTGGGTTCCTGTGAAACAGAGTGTATACGAGTGCCTTCCTCGGTTTCTTACACGGTGATGCCAACGCATCAACAGACAATGGTTTGATATGGCAGACACGATTGTGCCTTCCAGTGCCTATAGGCCTATAGGCACTTTCCAAAACTACCGTTTGACCCCCACTGAACTGAACCCACAAGCCGGGTTTCTTGGGGCCGGGTGTATGGCTAGCCATGAGCCTTTGGTCCACGTCGACAGCTCCTTGTCGTGAGTTGTCTGAGTGGCACATGATGCACGCATGCTCGGTGCTTTTGCGTGGACTTGGTTGTGCCAGTGTGACAGTCTGGTAGCTTTGTCGCGTATCGTCGCAAACAAATCTTGGAGTAGGGGCAGGGAGGATACAGGCGTTTCAAAGGCCACGCCAGAGTGAACTCGTGCTTTTGTCGGCAGGTGCGGTGTAACGTGCAACTGCATTTGGAGCGCCCAACCATTCGGGGTGCGCTTGAATAATCTGGTCACGGGCCGACCCCCGTGATGCCCTTGACTTGGGTTAGGGTCTGGTGGGCTTGACTAACTTAGAAGGGTTTTGGAGGCTTGCGCAACCCAGGGCAGCGTTGAGGCTCCAAGTGTCTGGCCGAAGACCCTGCCACGGCAATGGGCGATCCTGAGCGGATGCCCGGTTGCGGGTGGTGTGTAGAGGGAGATTAGAAAGGGGTCAGTTCGTCAGATTGATGATTGATGCGACAAGTTGTGCAAGCATTGTAAAATGAGGCGAACCGGTGTGTTCGTGTCATTCATAACAAACTTAACACACGGAGCTTGTGACAGGTCAACGACCATTGCACCGCGTGCAACGCCGGTCATTTCCTCTCCGGCAAACGCTGCAAGGTCACAAAAAGTAGTTAGAGGGCGGCCGATGTAGAGCCTTTCAGTCGTCAGGTATATTGTGTTGTCGTAGTTCGTTTGTGCTGCCACCTTGCAACTGCAGATTTCGAGGGATTGTGGCGGTTCTGTCTGCTTGGGTAAGGAGCTGCGGGAGAGTGACCTCGCGTATTGCATAGTTAACTATCAAATGGTGCAGGATAGCGCAAGCCTACAGCTCCGTTCAATCATTCGGCCCGCATGGCGTTCTCGACAGTACTGCCCGATGGAAAGCGTCCGCGACCAAAGGCTTAAGACTTAAGATCTCCCAGCAGGTCATCATTTACAAATGCGATCCCGGATCCGGGAGCAAGTGCAAGACCTGCGTGGCGGCCAAAGACCGCAAGGCCCGGTCCAGAGCCTTGGGTGTGAATTGTCGAAAAGACATGGGGTTGGGGGGCGCTCTTACGGCCGGGTCTGGAGCTTTCCCTTACTTACTGTTTGTGATTTTCCGCTATCACTATGCAGTCTCGTAGGATCACTGACTCACCCACCCACACACTCACACCTACCGACAGACCGACCGATCCCAACCGAATCCTAGTATAGGCACACCTAACCTTGAACTTTGCTAGCGCAGCGCCGCCCGGAGCCCTGTGTTTGGCAAAGCGGACGCCAGGTTGATAACCACTGTGCCAGCTGCAATGCCGGATGGCAGCTGAAAGACAGGAAATGCCAGGCCAGGCGGCTCTTTGGGGCGCGTGGGTGCTCTCCGCTGTGCATCTTATCTCGGCTCTCTAAGTTTCCCTTGCGAGTGCTGGAAGGCCGTTGCCTGCCCTGCGAACTCAGCCGGCACAAATGTGGGATCTGGGTGCAGCTGCAATGCAGGCGCTGTGGGATGCCGTGGGATGCCATGGACGGCAGTGCGTCCGTTGATGTGCATGGTTGACATCCTTCAGCAGGCTATTCGGGCAGCATCGCAGCTGCTTCCTCCGCGCCCTTCTACACAGGCATCGGGTGTCGTAGGGCAGCAGAGCTTCGAAAATACACAGTGGGCCCAGAGGATTGTGGTTAATAGACAGAACTACTGGTAAGGGTGCCTCGGCACGGGTGCGAAGACAATACTTCACCAACCAGGCATATGATGAAGGGTTGATTAGGGCCCTGCAGGAATATTGATGAGTGAGGGACACTGATAGTAGAAATCGAAACCCTGCTTCGTATGGCAGCCCAGACTAGACCTCAAGCATGCTCCGAAAGAAAGCCTTTCGTTACCTGCCGAAATCGAAAGCCTGAGATGAGCCAAGAAAAGAGCACCCATTGATTGGGGAGACTTCAGCAGAAAGTCTCTTTGCAGAGAACCAACGGGTTCAGGTTCTTGCAACGCCGTGGCCTGCCCATACGCATCGACCGGTGCGAACGCGGCTGGGTCGGAAGTCTGTGTGCAGGTTTCCTCCGAGCTTTGCACAGGAGCCGACTGTTGATGGTACATGTCATGTGAACAGTGTCCACAGGGGTCGATGCTGATTCAGAGGGCACAGGCTTGGACTCTCAGTCTGACGAACGGGAAGTCAGGTTCCCGCCGGATGCAAGTGCTACAACGGCTACGAGGGCAGTGTGACGGCCACAACAGGTGGGTGTAGTGCAGTTTGCATTCGATCTGCTTTCAGGACTTTTCTCGTGTCAAGTGTGTGAGGAAGGGTCTACATTTGTAGGCTCTGTGCGGTTCGCAGTCTTTTGTCGACAGGCTCGCCATTCTACACCTACAGCTGCAAGGCACAGAGAGCACATGTCGCAAGCTGGGGCAGGTGCACTTTTCCTGAGATCCATGCAAGCCCGGTTGGGTGGCATAAGTCCCAGGCGTAGCCTGGCGAGCCTTGAGAATCGAGAGTCGTGGTTAGATGAACTATGAGCCTGCCGACTCCGGAGATGAAACCCAGTTGGCAGTTGGATAGTTAGACTTGGTTTCAAAAGTTGCTACATGCACCTGGAAAAATCCCATGCGCCCTTGTCAGTCTGTGCTCGTTGGCGGCACGTTCGCCCTCCATGCCACGGTCCACAATCGCTTCCTGCGCATGAATGGCCACCCGGTCCTTGCACAGCGATGTTGGCCTTGCACCCGCAAGCCCGGTCTTGAAAGCTTCAGATCGCACGCTGCTGTTCTTCGCACTTTCGAAAGACAGCTTTCAGATGTATTATTCACAGGGTCACATGATTGATACTCCGTCGCCCCAGCCGCTGCAAGCGAAAGTGGCTTGGCTTCGTCAAGGCCCTAGCCCACCTCAGAAGAAATAACAAGGTGAAAACATGGAGCGGACCTCGGCGAAGGCCAGCGCACCTAGACCGCACGAGTGAGCCGCGGTTATGGCAATGGGTGACAAAGCTGTGTGAACGTTCGGTTCGGCGCGGGGTTATGAGTCCCGGACACCGCGGCCCAGCCTACAGCCCGCGCGCTATGGGTGTGCCCGGAGGGGAGAAGGGAGAACCGTTTCAACATGTCCGAATCCTCCTCGAAATAGTTCGTCTGGGCCGTGGTGTTTCCCAAGGCGAAGCTGCCATCCGACTGGGTCAAGTCCTTCTTCCGCATCGTCGATGCCGGCGCAGGCGACCGGGGCGACCGGACAGATTGCCGGGGGGGGGTGGGGGCATCGGCTTGGACAATTTTCACTGTATTTGCCTCTCTCCAAATCGTTTGATTGCACAAGTTTCGGTTGGGTTCAAAGTGCGTCGGCGAAGTTCAGCGGCACGTCAGCAGTTGGATTCATGTGAGAGTCGTAGGATACATTTCTATCTATGTGCCTTCATGCATGTGTGTCTGTCTGTATGTACGTGCGTATGTATGTGTACATGTATGCCGAGTGGAGGTGCCATATTTCTCGCTGACCAATTTAAAATCGATACATCAGACGTACACCCATGTACATTGGGAAGGCGGTTTGCACCACCATCCATTCGGCTTTTGCAGTTCTCCCTGCTCCAAGATCCACTGAAACTGCCTGAGCCAGGGAGGGTTGCAACTAGTATCGAGCCAGTGGATGAAATATCTACTCGACTGAGTTGAGCGCGGCAACACCGCACATGATGAGTTGCGCAGCCTGGAGGCAAGATTGGCCTCTACAACGCCCCGAACAACAAGTACATCCGCATGAACCATGAGGACTCAAGCATCGTACTTGAAAAATAGCAGTCGGGAGTTTGGGAACATGTCGTGTCACTTTTCGGCTGCGACCGTCTGAGCGAAATGTCCATGCGCTCTTTGGATCGGTTCCGTCCTTCCAACAGATCTCACTGAAGCATGAAGAGCACGCCCTCAGAGCAGAACGACTCTAATGCTAGCGCAGATCGTCCTCACCCAGCGATCGCACGGAGGTTCTCAGGAGCTTCCGAGTATTGGCTCAAAGCGTTCTTGGCACTGGTGATCCTGGGTCCGGTCATGTCCGGTCTCTTGTTCTCTGTGCGAAGCCTGAAGGCGCTTTCTCTTGTGGACTGAAAGCATTTAGAGTCAACCCCTTGCACCTGCCGCCCATTCTCTTGAGATCGGGGATTTGTGACGAGACATGTCGGTGTCCATGCTGGGTTGTGGCCAAGTTTCTGCCCATGCACGCAGGGATTTGCCAGCTGCGCATGCCTCCAAACTCGTGAGGGTGTGCATCCTTGCGGTGCAGTGATGCTGAGATTCTCTTTTCCGTGGGAAGATGCGTGAAGGGTGCGGCGCGGCCCGGGCTGTTCAGGCTTTGAGCAGTACGAGGGGTAAGAGGTAAAGACGGTGCATCGCAGGCTCTGAAGCTAGCCGCAAATATAGCAGTATAAGCGATCGCCCTCGCCCCTTCACTGAAACGAATTTGCAGAGGGCACATGCTGTCCATGAACAGTTGGGTGACGAGGACATGGATGCGGTGGCCTGGCGAGCATCCTGGGAGAGTGCCTCGGCAGATGCGCTTACGTCTGGTCTCAACTGGAACCTTCAAGAGGCCCTGGACCATCTCCCACATCTCCCACATCTCCCACAGCTTGCAGGCTTCTCCGTGTACGACGCTGGCAAGGGCGAGATCGCTTTGCACTGCGACGTCTTCAATCGCTTTGTCCGCATGCGGGATAATGACAAGGTGGCGACCCAGCTGCAACCCAGAGCCGCGGTCTCTGTCGGAAACGCGGACTACAAAGAGCGCAGCGCATTCGTTTTCGGCTGCCGAAGTCGTCGTGTCAGCAAGGATGCCAGCGGCGCTTCCAAGGCCCGGCGGAGCGGAGCGGAGCGAAGCTCTTGTTTTCTTGTGTCAAGGACGCTGTCAGCCTTAAGCAAAAGTTCCCCCCCCCGCCTCTGCCCCCACGCGACGAGACCCTTCCGGCCGGCTGGACATGGGAGCGCTTCAAGCCAGTCCAGGCAAGGCCTTGATCAGCTGAGAGCCCGGAGTCCCCTTGGGACGGACCTGTGGTGTCGAACGTTGTAGAAGTCCAAAGAAGCATAAGATCATTTGTGGGGAGGTCCTCCTCAAGCCCGGCAGCGAGATTGCTCTGCACAACTCGATCTTCAATCGGTTCATGCGAATGCAGCTTGGTGAGATGATGAGGATGTGCTTCCCAGAAATAGCGCAAGGGCCGATGCAAACTCAACTTCAGAAAACGTTGAGGCACGGTGACGCCAACAAGATGGATTCCTCAGATGTGAACCCAGACTGCAGCAGATTGCAGCAAGTGGACTTGCGCGACAGCTCGAGCCTCTTTGAGCCTGTTCGAAGGAAGAACATCAACGCGCTGCCCGATGGGTGGACCTGGGAGCGCTTCAAGGCCACATCTTCACTTCTCAAGAAAGGCTTCCTGTGGCTCGACTGCCTTCTAAGGTGGTCGAAGCTGGCTTCGGGCAGATCGCCCTCCACAGCAGCATCCACAACCGCTTTGTGCGAATGTGGCACGGGGTACCGGCCCCGAATCCATTTGCTCACAGCCGGAAGTTAGACTCAGTTTTCTTGTCATCAGTTGCCGTGGGCATGTCACAGTGCACTCCGAGGACATGGATCGAAGTTCGAACAAGGATGCCGGTGCCTTGCCCCTTGTCCGACATGTGGGGGGGGCGGCCACGGCCCTCACAACTAAAGCCACGTAGCTCCGGAGGCCACTCCGAGGCCCAGGCCCTCTGAGCGCGATGCGTCGATGCGTTGCTGCAGGCCGGTTGGCTGGTGGGCAGAGCGCTTCACAGTCGTTGACTGCGGCGGCGGCAAGGCCGAACCCGAAGATGGACTCACCGTGACTCTATTATCATCCGTTGGATGTGCAATCCAGGTCGCGTTCCACAACGCGCGCTTCAACCGCTCCTTGGCCATCGAATCCCTGCGTGTCCTCGCATTTTCCGATGTGTACCACAGCATTTTTCTTCAAGTGGTTGGGGAGAGCGTCTCGAGCTCCAAAGGCATGGCTTAAGAGATGGTGCACATGTCGGAGTATGCTGCGACCATCCGAGGCTTCGTTCGAATGAACCACGGGGACATGGATCGCAGCGCGACGAAGGAGCTAGTTACAGCTAGTTGCAGTAAGCGACTGTAGTACCGAACATGTATCAGAAGACGCAGAAGGCTCTCTCGTTCAATCGACAAGAGTCAGAGCTTGACTCAGGAAACGGGAGGAGGCTGTTATCCACCACTTAATGTGACTTGTTTTTGTCGCGACAGTCTGGGCCAAGCCTTCCCGTCGAGCCGTTGTTTAAGCCATGCTGCTCCGGGGTTCCTGAAAGACAAGTAGCTAACGGTGAGCGGCGTTTTGATGCTCATGCAGGGCTTTCAAACGACACGAATGCGTAGGATCATGGGTCACCTAATTAAGAGCAAGCCGCCAGGCTGGTGATGCGCTGCCCAGTGGATGGACCTGGGAATGCTTCACACCTATTGAGGCCGCTGCCTCCTCGCATCGTTCGCCCTTACAGTCTCTGCATTATCATCACTAAAGCTCAAGATGCCCCTACGGTGACAGGCGTTCACCTGCAAGACTGGATCTGGCAGCTACTGGGCACGCAGCAAATATGGAGTAGCATTGCCGCGTGCAGATGCAGTCGGAGCAGCCCACTTGAGCCTCAAGCGCCTGCCCTGACTTCTTGTTTCAGCTGAGGCAGCTGCAGGGGCTGCGTTGCACCCGGCTCGCGAACCGTGCGGCTCCCAAAACAGAAGTCATCACTTTGAGCTGATGCGAGTCTTGTCATCGCTTGAGCCCAGCCCCGGGGGTAAACGGCCTCGGGACAGGCCACGGACCACTGCAACAGCTGCAATGCTGGCTATGCGCTCGTTGGCAGGGTGTGCAAGGCTGGTCGGCCGGGCCCGAAGCCACCAAAGCCGTGAGAGCGAACGCAGCCGCCCTGATGCCTCAGAGCGAGCACGCCGTGACCAGCGCCCCGTCGGCGAGAGGCGACGACAAGACTACCACAGCGACGTGCCCGGCTGGTTGCTTGGACAGAATGCAAAGGGATAATGGTACGTCCTGACTGACTTGCGGGCGCTTCTAGCCTGGCACAGAACCCCAAGCAGCTGAGGCATGTACATCAAGAAGTGCGAGGTGATCAAGGTCGGATCTGCGCCTCGGCTGAACAATCCTGGCTGCTTTGGCAAGAGGTCACTCTCGTATGATTCCCGCAGCTACATTGCGGGACATAGGTCCCACAAATCTTGCCCTCGCCCAGTGAGCTTCGCCACCGTGCTTGGTTCTTCTCTTACAACTCATTGGAAAGGTGATGGCAGGACGTTGGCACAGCACTTGTGCTCATTATGACTGCGCACTTTTTTCGTTGGAGGTTCAGACTCCAGTTGGCGGGTTGCTGTGCCCAGGGAAATCTGGCAGACGGTGCTGTTGTCAGCGACGATGCAACGAAGTGCACTGCACAGAGCCGCTTGGAGAGCAGGTACACAATGAGTCGATGCAGGCTGCTCCATGCTGCATGTCTACAGTGAAACATACGAATGGTTTCTCGATGGTGGTGGTTGTTTGGGTGCGGTGCGTGTACTGGTGCTGATTGACTTTCTCGATGGTGGTGGTTGTTTGGGTGCGGTGCGTGTACTGGTGCTGATTGACGGAATCACAGTATGGCCAAAGCTGGTAGGACCGCCGTGTTGTCGCTGTCGCTGTCGTCGCAGTGGTGCAGGTTGCGGTGGTGGTTGTCGTTGTGGTCGTGGTTGTGGTTGCAGTTGCGATTACGGTTGCGGTCGCGGTTGCGGTTGGGATTGGGGTTGTGATTGTGGCTGTGGTTGTCGTGGTTGTGGAGTTCTGGTCGTTCTGGTGGTTGTGGTGGTTATGATGGTTTTGGTTGTGGTTGTGGTGTTGTTGTTGTTGTTGTTGTTGTTGTTGTTGTTGTTGTTGTTGTTGTTGTTGTTGTTGGTGGTGGTGGTGGTGGTGGTGGTGGTGGTTGTGGCTGTGGCTGTTGCTGTGGCCTTGGTTGTGGCTGTGGATGTGGTTGTTGTCAGTGTCGTCGTCGCCGTCGTTATCGTTCTCGTTCGCGTTGTCGACGTCGTGGTCATCGTCGTTGTCGTTGTCGTCCTGGTAGTTGTTGCGGTGGTAGTACAAGTACATCACACCTCCTGCGGTGCCTTGTGGACCCCGTACGGGGGCTCTCTGAAGGCAATACCCCGGGTCGGAAATGCCTTGTGACCCCCCCTAATGCCTTGTGAACCCCCCCCCGAAGGAAAGCTAGTTAAATACCGGTCCTAATCATGTGGTGGAATGATAGTCGATGCTGAACTGTTGCCATGGCCTCCCTCCTCCCAACCCCCCACCCTCCATTAGGTTCATTCATATGAGAACAACAATACCACATCACAGCATCTCGTGGCCGAGGGAGAAAGACAGGGGAGAGCGAGAGAGCGTTTGATTCCTTGTGTGTGCGGGCACGTCTTTGCAGTCGAAGCTGGTGCAGGCATTTTGCCTTAGGCCCTCGGAGCAGGCATTTTGCCTGATAGGACCCTGGAGCAAATACTACAGATCGAGCAACAGTCAGCAGCCGTGTGACCCGGGATGACTCCGGCCAGCGGCGCTACCAGGTGCTTGGGCTGCGTCTCCACCAGGTGGGGGAGACTCGGTTGGGCCTCGTCGAGCAAGTCTTCCGCGGAAGCATCGGCCCCAAGGAGCGAGCAGGTGCAAAGCCTGCAGAGTCCATGCTGCCAGCTCGGCAGTGTGTGCGACTTCACATCTTGCTGCTGTCAAATCTGTCCAGCACGAGTTGTCAAGCAACGGCGCTATCGGGGGCATGGGTCGTCGATCCACTTGACGAGGAGGCTCCCCTGCTTTACCAAGTGCCAGCTGAAATCGTGGAAGATGAGTGGCGAGTCCTCATCCGCCTCAGTCCGCAAGCGGTCACCGCAGCCTTGAAGATCCAGGGCCTCGCCATCCAGATGGGCAGCGATGAGCTTAAGCCAGACTCGGGACAGGTCTGGATCACCATCAGCAGCTTTCCGCCGACAAAGGCTGGCAAGGACAACATCGAGCGGTACATGGACTGCAGTCGTCGGATGTGGGAGAAGCTGAAACGGCGGCCTATGCTTGACAGCAGTGGTGTGCCGATCTTCATGGCCAAGGTCAAAAACCCGCCCACGTGGTCGCAGCTGCTTGCCCGAGTCTTCGCTTATTTCGATGCGACCATCAGAGGCAAAAAAGCTGGAGAGAGCAAGGCCTCATCGGTGAGTGCAGAGGACTTCTCCAAGGCAGTTTACAGCAAGTTTCAGTACGTGGCACCCGTGGAGGAAGCCGGCAAATGGATTGAGTTCCTGCACAGTGTTCGTTCCATCTCGCCACAGGTGTTGCCGAGTGCGTAGTGTGCCGTACAGTGCTTTTCTCCCGCGAATGTGGGAGGTCAGAGGCGACAGGAGCACATGAAACCGCACGGGAATCGCAGAGAGCGTTAAAACACTCAAGTCCGATCAGTCGCTTGTCTGAGTCTTTTCTGCATGCTGCATTTCCTCCAAGCCGAGAGCATACCATATCCGTGACATCTGCATGTCTAGGGACCCCCGTGGGGGGAGGGAAGGCATTTGGTTTTGAAGGTGAAATGCCTTTGGGGAGGGGGCGGAGGGTCTTTGGGGGTAGGAGGGCCTATACAAGTACTAGTACTGGTTTTGGTACTTGTATTAGTACTAGTACTAGTACACAAGTGCGAGGACGACCAAGTACTAGTAGTGGTAGTGGTGGTAGAGGTAGTGGTGGTAGTGATGGTGGTAGTGGTGGTTGTGGTGCTGTTACTGGTGTTATTGGAGTAGGGATGCTGATGTTGATGCTGATGTTGTTGTCGTTGCTGCTGTTGTCGTTCTCCGTGTCGTTGTGGTGGTGCTGGTTGTGGTCGTGTCGTGCTCGCCGTGGCCGTTGGGGTGGTTGTCGACGTTGTCTTAGTCGTCGTCTCTGCGAACCAGAGTCAAAAGATGTCAATCGCTGGCACCGGTTTTCAGGCACCTTCCCAGACATGCGCGTGAAGGCCAAGGCTGGGTCATCCCTTGCTGTGCTCTTGCGCAGTCAGCGCAGTATCCTCTCACAAGCCCGACCGATCGGTTACAGGACTGAGTCCTGTAAGTTCTCGGTTCTCGCCCCTTCACATAAAAGCATGCCGAGACCCGAACGTTCATTCCACCCACTGTGTAGGGAGTTGTCCGTGAAGACGATCCAGCACTTTTTCTGTGCGAGGTGCCGGAACACCTTCCAAGACCTCACAGAACTAGCATAGTAGCACCCAAGACCATGCGACCGAACCTTGCAGTCTGTTGGCGAAGCAGGAGCTAGGACCACTCTGAGTCACAGAGGCCTCCTGCAGCACCAAGAAGACCTACGCCGTCTCAACTCCCGCGTGGCGGACAGGCCCCTTTCTTGAGAGGGAATGGTGGCTTCCTGATGCGGAAAGTGCGCGCCGCACGTTGTCTCAAGAGCCGACGCAAGGTACCAAGACAGCTTCCTGTGCCAAGCCTTTGTCCTGCAACTGTCGATCTGCAGCTCGGCCGAGTCGGGTCGGGTCGCGGCTTCTGAGACTTCAAGTCAGCTGTGGTTCGAATAAGGCTGGTGCTTGGCCTTAGCACCTGCATCCCTTCAGGGCGCACTGAAGCTTGAATGACAGGCATGAAAAGGGCAGATTGGAGCCACCTGAAATCATTTGAATCAAAAAATTCTAGGACCGAGAAGCCTGAAATCGGCGTCACGGCATGTGGCAGCCCTCAGGCGTGGAGAGTCAAGGATCAGTGTACCTTGCCTGCAGATGCTGCAGTGTGATTCACGTCAGTACAGGAGTCCGGCAGACTCTTGTAACTCCACCAGGCTGGTCTGGCCACCAGACGGCTGCCACCTTTAACCCTTCGCAGGGCAAATGCACTCGCCACTCGGCGGTGGTAGGCCCGGTAGGCCCGGTAGGCCATGTTGTTTTGTGGGCTTATAGACGAGAGCACCTCACGGGGGGCCCGAGGAAAGTCCGGCAGCAACGGCATTCAGGTCACGGCTGTGTGCGAGGCTGGGCAAACCTTACGAGGGGCCTTTTTTTTCTCTCACCTTTGCCCATCTTAGACAGGTGTTCCAAGCTTACCCCTAAACCTAATCCCTCTAGTGCACGAGCCTTAGAGCCTTGGGCTGGGAGCCGCTCAAAAATAAGGCGCTGGAAGCCCATACCCATCATCAGTAGCTCCGTTGACTTCTGGGAGGTCCTTCCGTGCAGCACTGGCGCGAACGCCGGCTGCAAGAGCTGCGTCGGGGAAAGGGAGCGTCAGGCCGGAGAACGCTGAAGGCGAGTTCAGAAAGGCGGAAAGGAATGAAAGGAAGTGTAACTAGGTGCTTCAAGTCATTTGCCTACTGCTACTTCTGCTACTTTGTCCTTGCTAAAACAAGACGAAGACAAGTGCCGTCGAAGTCAGTCGCTTCGAGTTCGAGACATTTCTAGACCGTCTAGGCTAGATTCTGAGACTCTCCAATTCTCTCCACTCTCCGGAAGCATATCAGGTGGTCAACCACTGCGCCTCGTGCAATGCCGGGTACTATTTGGACGGTGGTGTCTGCAAGGCATCGATAGTTCTCCAGGAGTTCGGCTTCACGAGCGAGCAAGCTCATCATTCTCTCTCACTCGAAACCCATGAAGCCCTTGTCCCTTCCTTGGCCCATCCAGGCCTATTCCTGCCACAAGACCCTCGGCTCGGGCTGTGCCAGCTGCCGCGCTCAGAACCAGCGCACGGCCGGCAGGGGGGCAAGCGTACGGGCACAGTGTAGTGTGTAGATTGAGCAGGAGCTCAGGACCGCGAGTCAGTTTTGCTCCTTGAGCCGCTTCGCCCCATGCAGGCGCACAACCAATGCGCCAGCTGCAACTTCGGTTGGGCGCTGGTGGGCACACAATGCAAGGACACACAGTGGTGGCAGTGGGCTTCGGTACCTCCAAGCAACGGCCAATTTCTGCAAGTTCTTGCAGCAAAGTTTGATCGTGGCACTGCCGACTCAACGTGAAGCCCTCGAGGATGATCACGTCGTTCTTAGTGGGTTTTCGGGCAGCCGCGATGACGACACCACTTCAGCTCCTGGTCCGACAATGATTTCGGACAGACGGCTTGTCACGGGTTCTGTAGTCTTGTGTGACGTTATGACTGTTATGATATGCATGTATGTATGCATGCATGCCTGTCTATATGCATGTAGGTAGATGTGTATGTATTGGTCTATGTATGTACGACGTGTGCATGTACGTATGTACGTATGCATGCAGGTGCGTACGTAGGAATGTGTGTACTTTAAATATGTACGGACATATGTATGCATGTGTGCATGCATGTAAGTCAATGCAAGACTGCACATAAATAGGGAGCGAGGCGGTCATGTGCAAATTGCCCGTGCACTCATGTCTGTGTACATGTCAATTTGTGTGTGATTATGTTTGTGCGTGTGTGTGTGTGTGTCGGTGCAAGGTCATGCATGCTTGAATAGACCAGCACATCTGCGTACATAAAAATGTAATGAGTATATTAGCATGTACATATTATACATGCATATATGTGTGTACACGTACATATATGTGTATGTACAAACAAGGACAGATAGATATAACTTTAACGCTATGGCGCCCGCCTCGGCTCCTCAGGTGCAGGGGCCGGATGAAACGGCAAAGCCTTCTGTATCACTCAGGAAATCTGTTCAGGTCACGGCTATATTGAGATTTCTTTGAGCAGGACTCCCACGGTTCAGGAGGTGCGGGGGCGCCGTAGAGCTCCTTTTTCAGCGAGACATGTCAGCGTGCGGCAAGGAGGAACGAACAGCTGTAACACAGGGTTTAGGGACCAGCATGGCCGCACGCGGCAGGGGACTGGGCAGGAGCAGAGGGTGGGGGGGGGGGTAGGGAGAGAGGAGGGGGGGAGGGTGGGCAAACAACAGCAGGAAACAGCGGATTACGGGAAAGGGGGACTGCCGGAAGATCCGGTAAAATGAAGGGAAGCCGGGCAAGGGGGTGGCAAATGAATGCAAAATACGGGTGTCTCGAAACTTTCGGATTGCAGCAGGGTGCTTGAGGTAGCGCCCAAGACGCCTGGGCCTGTGGCCTCTGCGGATTGCACATGTACGTGGCCTCCCCTGCGAGTGGCATACCCCTTCTGTCTTTTGCCACTTGCCTCTAGCCAGACTTTCAACCCTGCAGCCGCATGAAAACATCCACACATACACAACATACACAATGCATGCACAACACATGCACATACACATACACATGCACATATCCATATCCATGACCATATCTATATCCATATCTTTATCTATATCTATATCTATATCTATACCTATATCCATATCCATCCATGCATGCATGCATGCATTCAGATGTATAGATAGATCGAGAAAGATATACAGTACATTTATGCATTTGTAATGTGTGCATACATGTATATGTACGTTTTTGGCTCGATATGGATATCTACTGATGAGTATGTTTTGCTTCTGTCCGTATGTCTGCATGTGCATGTTTGTCTTCCCTTGTTTTCATGCGGCTTTTGTACACGTGGTTTGAATGTGCATTCATTCCTTGCATCGTCCTCGTTTGTGTACATGTGGGACTAAGAGCAGCCAGCGTGAGCCTTCCCTTGTTCCATTGCTTGCAGCGCTTCCTCTGACTATGTGCAAGGGCTGCCAGGGATTATTTGCAGTCGGAGTGTTGTTTTTTTCAGCGATTTGAGCTGATTGTTGGGGGAATGTGAATGCTGCATGGCAGCAGAGCGCTGCAGGCTAGGGAATGTCCCCATTTCTCAGGTCAAGGCAGTAGACTTGTGCAGCGTCCCAGTAGGATTAACTCCAGACCGGTGTGGCCAGGCCACTTGCCCTAACGGCATGTATGTCGCTTGGCATGGAAGAAGCTTGCATTTGACTTTCGGTGCACGGGCTCAGCAACATGTTTACCGGCAAGGCTGTAGATGAAAGAACAATTAGTTTTGTGCGGGCGGTACGGAACCTGGAATGGGTTTGCCGTGGTTGCTATGCCTTGCCAGCTGTAGACCTGTGCTCCTGAGGCACACAAGTGCGAAGTTGTGGAAGTGCAGGGAGCAGGCGGAAGCTGCCCAAAATTGGTCATGTCCTCGCTGCTCGCTTCTTCGGCAATAACCCTATTTAGCTTCGGTGCTTCCTTCTGCCGAGGTCGGGGCCTGCATGCTTGAGCAGACCGGTAAGCATGTCAATCGCTTAGCATTATCATTATCATGGTCAGCACGACGGCCATCAATACTAGCAATGCTCTGAATACTTGTAACCATCGCAATCAGCCCCATGATAAAGCTGAGAGCTCTGAGTCGTCGCCACATGCACGCAGGAGGTGGCCGAAGGCGCCGCCGTGGACAGGACGGGAAGCCTTTGAAGAGGGTCTGACGAATGCCTTTTTTGTCCTGTTGTTTTGGAGAGTCGAGTCGCAGAGATTCGAGCAGCAACGCGAGACGATGAAAGCTGACACTATCAATGGCTCCTGCACGTACCCGTACACATACTTACATTGTCACACTCGCTTGCATGATCCGGATATGTACGATGGTGTTGCTGGTTTCGGTCGCTGCTCATGAAAACCGAGCGCTGCATAAACCAGTGGTGTCATGAGGGCTGTGGTGGCCTTTTGATGATGATGGGGTGGTGGTGGTGGTGGTGCTGCTGCTGCTGCTGGTGGTGGTGGTGGTGGTGCTGCTGCTGCGTTGCGCTGCTCCTGCCGTTACTGTCTTTGCCGTGGTTGCCGTCTTTGCCGTCTTTGCCGTCTTTGCCGTCGTTGCCGTTGCTGTCGTCCCCGGTGCCGTTGTCGTTGTGGTTGAGCTTTTGGTTTTGGTTGTGATGGTTGCTGTTGTGGTTGTTGTTTCTTGTTATTCTTATTCTTGTTATTGTTGTTGTTGTTGTAGCCGCTATGGATCACGGCAGGCTGTTTAGCACTGCTAACAGGGCTCCGGGTACCAACGCTAGAGGCTCGCAACGGCCCCCTTCTGCGAAGCTTAAGGGACTGTCCTCTTTCTGAGCCGTAGCCATCCCTGGAGCCACGTGTCGCTGTGATCTACCGGGTCCCAATTCCCGGGCCTCTGTCTGCAGTTATACAACATTGGCAAGAGGTAAGCGGTAGTGGTTTTCACCTATCCGCGAGGTGAAGGGAGTCGGATCGAGTTCTCTCTTTCCGGCGAAACTAGCGGACGGCGCCAGCGCCAATGCACCAGCATTCCTTTGAGAGCATTCGCAAGAAGGCCTTTCGAAAGGCTTGCAATAGGGTACACAGAACACAGGAAAGCATCCAGTATAGAAACGGCGTGCTGACGCCTGAGCATCTGCGTCGCAGTGGACTTACCCCACCCTCCCCTCCCCTCCTTCCTGTACAGCCTAGTTCCACGGATCCTTCGGCTCCCTCAGGCCGCACAGACAGCTTCCGCTCACGTCCGCGAGGTGGACGCGCCAGCAAGTCGCTCCGTGTCCTCTCATGGAATGCTGGGCACCTTGGCATCCAGCAATGGGCAGAAGTGAAGACATGGCTACGCACTGAGGCCCAATATGTCTGTGATATTTTAGTCCTGCAGGAGACGCACTGGAGCGAAACAGCAGAGTTTGACGTTGAGGGTTGGCACTGCATAAGCTCTGCCACCAAGGGCGCTGCCCGGGCACCCAAAGCCAAATCAACTTCAGGGCAACGCTCAGCGCGAAGTGCTGCATCGCAGCCGGCGATACATGACACTGGTCGTGCAGATGGGGTTATGGTCCTCCTTTCCCCCTTGATAGACAAGAAAAAGATTAGATGGCGCGAACAGCGCCGAGGCCGACTCATTCAAGTCACCTTTCCGTGGCTGGGAGCTCGAATTCATGTCTTTGCGGTCTATCAACATGCGTGGTCTTCTAAGAAGACTCCTCAACAAAACAAGGAAGATCGCTCGCGCCTGCTACGTGACCTGTCCTCATCCATCAGAGCTGTTCCGGCGAGGGACACATTTCTGCTGGCAGGTGACTTCAACGCACGCTTGACCCCGCAAGAGGGTCTGGTAGGTCGGTGCAGCACTCGGCCAGAGCACTCTCAAATGCAGGACGAGCAGTTCCAGGCCTTGGTTTCATCTCACAGACTGGTAGCGCTCAACACTTGGTCCTGCGGCACTGGACACACTTTCTTCCTGAACGGCAAGGGCTCACAGATTGATTTCTTGCTGACTTCTGAGGCCTCGAAAGGTATGGCCAAGCGTGCTGGGCCACGACAGGACCTGCAACTTGGACGGTGGAAACGCGGAGGTCATATGCCTGTTTTCGCTCAGCTCCGCCCCACCCAGCACTGGAATTTGCCCAAACCTTCCAGCCCCTCCCTGACCTACAATAAGGAGGCCCTGGAAACAGCAGTTCGCTCTGGCCTGCCCATTGCTGACCGTATGCAGGCTTGGGTGAGCCAGCGCCTATCTTCCAGGTACCACACGCCCGACGAGGTCAACCAAGTGCTGCTCGAGGCCTCCGAAACCCAGACCTCAGCAAGTGCCGGAGACCGCGCAACACCGCGCAACCTTGCGCATGTGGAACAGAGTAGCACACATTCGCTCCCTACATGAGGACTCTGTCACCACACTAGCCGACCTAGATCAGTCCCTGGAGGACCTGAGCCGATGGCACAAACAGGCTCTTTACCTGGCGAAGAAGGAACGCCATCGTGCATTTCAGGCAGAAGTTGATGAAGCATGCGCCCGCCATGACTCGTACATCGCTCACAAAACCCTCAAAAAACTCAGGCCATGGGCACCACAGACCAAGGCACAGCTTCAGGGCCCGGATGGCTTGCTTCTGGACTCACACTCAGAGCTCCGTTTGCTCCGCGAGCACGTGGAACAGGTTTTTGCCAAGCATCCTCCCCTAGATCACCATGTAACTACTTTGCCGGACATCCCGGCAGGACTGCTAGCCAAGCACATCGGTTCCATACGACCACACAAAGCGGTCCCTCAAGGCTCCGCACCTGCGGCGTCCTGGCGATTGTGCTCGGCGGATGCGGGTGAGGCTTTAGCAGCAACGCTGCAATCCATTGGGCAACGCCCACAGTCGGCTGAGGATGTTCTTCAGCCACCGCTCAAGGATGCTGACATGTGTTTTATTCCTAAGCCCAACAAGCCAGCCACGAAGCCTAGCAATCTACGTCCCCTGGGCATTATACGCCCTGACGGGAAAGGCCTGGCAGGGGCCTGCAGAGACAAGCTATCTCCCTACACGGCTGAATATCTCCGGGGCCTTCCTCAGTTTGCCTACCAACCCCAACGCGGTCTATCTGATGCGCTAGGCAGGGTCGTAGGACATGTCACTCAAGTGCGCAGTAACTGCCAGGAGGCCCGGCGAACCAGACACCAGCTTCACGCAGGACATACACGTCCTCAGCTGATAGGAGGCATTTGCTTTGCTTTGGACTTGTCGCAAGCCTTCGATATGGTGAACAGGTCAGACCTACTCAACACACTGCACGACGCAGGTGTCCCACAGGACCTTATCGATCTTGTCGCCTCCTTGCACGCAGGCAGTTCGTACACTTTTCGCACGCAAGGTGAAGCCGATACTGTCCAGTCCACGGCGGGCATTAAACAGGGATGCAAGCTTGCTCCCACTCTCTTCTCTATGCTCACAGGCACCATCTTTCGAGAGCTCATAGCTCTAGTAGGAGCTAAAGCTGTAGTGGACTACCTCACCGGCTACGCGGACGATCTGACAATCCACCGAGACATTCACTCGCTGGAGGATCTAGAACGCGCTCATGCTCTGATAGAGCAGTTGCTGCAGTTGGTCCGCAGTCATGGCTTTGCAGTGAATAATTCCAAGTGCACAGTCATGGTAAAGCTCGAAGGCCAACAGGCGCAACGCGCCCTGTCCCAGCACACGTATTGGCGCACCGCGTCTGATGGTACTCGTCACAAGATGTGGCGGTTGGGGACATCCAAGTCTCATGAAGGCTTTCCAATGGTCACGTCTTTCAAGTACTTAGGAGTCATGCTCTCCTACTCGAATTTCGAGAAGGCCACTCTTACATTTCGGCTGCAGGAGGGCAACTCCAAACTGCAACAGGTACGTCGCTTCGTTCACAACCGACGCACTGCAGGGCCGAAATCGAGGCTTCATATCTGGCACAGCACCGTCTGGGCGACGGTGGCCTCTGGGCTAGTCGACGTCGGTCTAACTCTTGAAACGGTTCGACTTTTGCGCGCCTGGCACGCTCGCAAGATTCGTGCGGTTCTTAACAATCCGGTGCATCTCACCCACATGTCAACCTCTGACCTTTACGCTTCCTACGAGATCATAGATCCAGTTTGTAAGCTACAGGCGCGACAGGCCAATCGTGTCAAACGCTTGCATCTCCGCCAAAAGAAAACACCGGCAGGAGACGTCTCGCTGACACAGAAAGCAATGCACCAAGCGGCAGCACTCTCTGTTGGGTATACAGAGGTTCTCCAGCAGCTCTCCGAAGAAATTAAGCAACAGGAAGCCTCCCAATCGTATGCATGCCCGACATGCGCTCAGGCCTTTGACACCGAGGTCGGCCTACGCACACACCAGGCCCGCAAGCACCCAGGCTCGGTCCTCAGATATGTCCCTCGAGCCTTCTCCCACACCCTTTCGGTAGGAGGGCTTCCTAAGTGTGCAGCATGCAACCGGCAATTCCCTCAGATGAAAGGCTTAAAGGACCATTTGTTATCGGCGCCTGCTCAGACCCTGCCAAATTGAAGGAGCTCGATGAAGCGGCTCATCCCCCTTCGGATCTGCAGCAGGTCCCTCGTCTTCACCCCAGACAGCAACGACTTCATGACACATTGCAGACGCACACTGCGGTAGAACTAGGCAGGCTTGATGAATCCCAGGATCTCATGTCTTATTGCCTGATCTGCGGATTCTGGTCTCCGGACAACACCAAGCTCAAGTCTCATATCCGCCAAGCCCACAAACCGGAGTGGGCAGCTCATGGCGCGGCAGCTGCTGACAAGAGCACCAAATCCGGACTAGTCCTCATCAAGGGCATGCCCTGCCCGTGCTGTCGTAAGAAGGTCACGGACAAAAGACAACACCCTGCGCAGTGCCCTGTTTTGTTCCAAATCTCGTTTTACGAGTTGGTTCATGAGCTCTCTCGCTGTCAGGGAGGACCGCTGCGACGGTACATCCCTGTTGTTAGTGCAGCGCCTCGTACTACCTCTGACTCCGATGGCAGACGAACCACCGGGGCAACGCCCCCCAGCAATACAGGCAACGCCTGTGGCAGGTGCGCCCTTGCCCTCTGGCGCTTCGGGATCCGAGCACGTTACCTCTGATGCCCCCCGCCCGCTAAGCAATGTCTCCAATTACTGCTATATCAATTCTACGCTCTCGGCTCTGGTGCC